TTTTACCGTTGTAAAACCAGGCCGGAATATGTTCTCGTATACGTGTTGACAGCAATCTCTGACTACGGCCGATGTATCTTGCTCCACAGGAGCAGGTGAACTGGTAGATACACATGAATGTGGCCTGTCAAGGGATACAAACGGAGAACAATTTACGACTGGTAAAGATCAAGTGAAGTTTTGCTGAGAAAAAATTCCTATTAATTGATCTGGAAAGATGATTTTTCAGGATATCTGATGCTGCATCAGCTTCAAATTCCAGATTCATGAACAAAGTCTTTTTAGAAACTGAGCTAATGGCTGGTTTCGCATATCTTTCTCGCATATTCTTATCGATAAATCGGCTAGGATAGTCGTTTTTTGCGAGCGTCCGTCTTAGAAAGTCAAGTTCAACTTAGACGCAGTTCGTTCTACAAATATTACGTATCTAATAGCAGAGTGAGTGAATGAGGCTTCTCTTGCTCATGATCGACACCCAGCTATAGAAATTAGTAAACTGTCCATTCCACGTGGGTTCCCTGTAGATAGATCTTTTCAGCGTTCCATTTCATTTGATCTTCTTAATAATCACAACTTTTAACAAAACATTTTCGATTCATTCCAATTTACTTGTCTCATTCATATTACCTAATCCTTTGATTGTTTGCTAACTCTATCACTTCTTCACCCCATTTTAATCCATATGCACCTTATAAACGATTCAAAAATCTTACGTAACCCTTTTTGTTATCATTCGACCTTTACGTCATCAACTAGCAACATTGTTATTATTATTATTTCAACCCCCACTATTTAAGTAATATCTTCCTCATGGATTACAGTCTTTAAATATCATACATATACGAATGTGTAACTTGAAAATAATTTCGTTGAAAAGAGTCCTCTTCGCTGAATATTTTGTTCCTGTGAGTTAAGAAGGAGTTTCAACGTAGACTTGATTTTATTTTCAGTTATTGTTCGTTTTACCTTTGAAGGTTGGGCGTTTCGCTGCTACCTTCTAAACTTCTGTTATTTACATAAAAGTTCCTCCACTCATTGGTATAAATGTTTGTGATTAGATTCGAAAGTGTATAAAATTGTTAACATGGGTTCATCGCTTTCATTCAGTATATTTTTACGAAAGCCTATTCACTATAACTCATGACCGAATTGAATTACTAAGTGAATGTATGTTTACACTGCTGTTATGTGTACCTTATCGTATCTTCTAATCAGACTTTACTAATACATGAAATTTTTACTTTGAAAAATGTAATTAGATGGTGACTAGTTTGGGAGTATCAAAAGCTGTTCTTGAAAATGTTATTTTCTGTCATCAAGAAGATTCCAACTGGTCAGTTTGCCATGTTCATGGAAGTACTGTTTATGTATGTCTGTGTACATTTGTTGTGCTGCTTCATCTAACAATTCAGTTTGGCTTTAAACGTTATTCAGATTGAAAAATTCCCTTTTACACGAAAGACAAATTAGTGGAGAGGAGGAAAATTCTGTTTTCTGTCAGTTTTTTTAATCATCTGAGTGCATTTTCTGCGAAGTCTGTCTGTTGACAAATTTTGTGAACTCTGGTGTAGTGGCATCTCATTTCAAGTCATCATACTCTGAAAAAAACATTCATGGAAAATTACTGATAATTGGTGACTCCCTAAGCTCAATATATTCCCCAGCCATCTCAGTCGGTGAAGGTTCACAATCCTACTGACTTACCTGCTTTCCTTGCCTAGTACCTTCTTCCTGTTCTTTACATTGCGGACGTGGTGATCCCGCCATATGTGAACAGTGCTATGAAAACGCTCTTGGTCAAATACCTGTAACTTCTTTATATATTATTTTCTTGACGGTTATGTCTCACAACAAAAAAAAACGATAGAACAGATGTACTGCAGTGAGGTAAATTTATCCTTCAATGGATAGTCGGATAGAAATATAACAAAATGATTTAAAGGGCAGTCCAGTAAGATATATTCGAAAAAACACTCGTTACTTTTCAATAGCAGAAAATAGAAGAAAGCTACAACATCTCCGTTGGTTTCGATTCTGAGCCATATCTGATAACGTCTCAGGCCACCGATTTGTGTAACTCCTCGGATCCCACGCAGGGAGACGTGATCGATCAACAGATTCTAACCGATACAACTATCCTTCACCCTACGGCACCACATCGTACACTGACCGCCGCTCCTCTTCTTCCATCTAGTTCCAGGGTCAGCAAACAATGAACAACGTGGAAGCCGTTGGGACGACATGTGTAATACATGTCCCAGCCACCGAAGCCGGTGTTTCCAGATGACTTCACCTATTGAATGACGATCTCCATCATGCTCAAACACACGCTGTCGTGCCTCAGAATTACTTATATGGTGTTAGCACGTGATACGAGCAATCCAGCGGAGCAAATGATGATCGGACACAGAATCGTCGCACATCCTCAGCTCTGATAGGCCAGGTTTCAAGGGCAAAGAGCTGAACTGCTCTCACTGAAGCGTTACAAACCCGACCTTTTACAGTCAGACTGACGTCTCGATCGCGCCCAAGGTGACTCACATTGACGTATGCCACTCCGGTTTTCGATATGCGGTTGGAAATTCCCCTCTCACACCTCCACCAACACTCACACAACTACCCAGATACACGGACTTTTCGGCTACTTCCAACAGTTCACCACTTACGATGAACACAGACACAGGCTGCTGCCAATCTTGAAAAGTACTTTTCACTTCGATGGTGCAAAGCACACACGATACTTGTGGACACTAATCGCCAACTGATTAAGTGGGATTTGAATAGCCTGTGTTTTATCGCACAGTAAGACGGTATCGTCTTCATGTTCGAGGTAGAATAGCCGTTCTCCAAGTAGTAGATCTACATCACCATTACTCATCTCCTTCAGGGTTGTCTCAAGAATGTCATTGATGACAAAGTTAGAGGGGAATGGGGAAATCGGGTAGCCCTGCCTAACCCTACTGCTGGTTTGGAACAATGATGACGGGTTGTTGTATGCGCTTACTCTACCTGGGGTGTTATTATATAGGGCTTTCAAGATGTGAATAAATTTCTCAGGTGCACCCCTCTCCAACAAACAATTACAGAGTACAGCTCTGTCGAACGAATCGAAGGAAGCCTTAGGGTCAAGAAACACAACGATTGTTGGCCTGCAATACATGTGGCGATGTTCAAGCATCTGGAGGAGGGTGAACATATGATCAGTGCATCCACGCGGAATGAAATTCAACCTGCTCCTCGCGAATCCTTTCCTCACGTGTTTTGCAAAGTCCGCGAAGTATGATAGCGGCCAATATTTTGGACACTGCTGGTAGCAGACTAATACCCCTATGATTGTCACTTACATTCAGCAGAACCTTTTTAAAGAAGAGCACGATAATGGCTTCATTGTGGAGTGATGGAACACTCTCAGTTGATCATACTTTCTCAATAAATTCAGTCAGCTCCCTGACTAGAGTCATTTCTCCGTCACTAAAAGAGTTAGGTTTAAGTTGTCTGGGCTGGGTGCCTTGTGGCGTTTCGGAGCTCTTGAACTTCCTTATGGACCTCTGCTTCATAAGGTGGGTCAGCGTTAACTGACCAGGAAGCACGATACACCGAAGGTGACAGCGCTAGTGCTGTGGGCCAGCTAAACTGCTTTTCGAAGTACTCCGGCCTGCGTTCCAAGTGTTTTCAAGGATTGTTTATCGAGTTGCGATCTACCTCACAGACCGTCTCACTGACACCACGCTTCCTGCTGCCTGTGGCTAGGATGAGCTGGAACATCTTCCGACTACTACCAGATGCAACTACTGTTTCCATCTGACTCGCGCGTTCTGACTACCAAACCCCTTGTTCCCTACGTAAGCATTGTGTAATCTTTCTCGTAAAAGACTTACGCGAACCATTGTAGTTGCTATCCGTGGCAATGGTCCAGCGAGCGTCAAGTTGCAGAGAGCTCGCAAACACTCTCTGTTTATTAGTGGGACATTCTTCCAAACGGAAAGCGGCTTTATTCGCCGTTTTATGGCACGTTGCAAATCTAGCCAGTGATCGTCTACACTTCGTTGAGAATCGGTAGTCAGCCTTGAATCTGGCTCAGATTTGTGTTTGGCTGCAATGTTTGGTGCAACTGATTTGGCTGCATCGACCTGTTTAGAATAGTGATTTTGATGACTACCAAAACCCAAGACGAGCTTAGCATACACTAAAGCATAATCAAAATCGAGACAAGTACTTCATATGAAGTGGCATTCCTGTATGCACCTACGCTAACGTTAGCTAATTGCAATATGATCTATTTGAGTCCAGGGTTGAGTGGTATATGGAGAACACCAAGTAGCATAAGACGATGGCTGTGCCGAGAGTTGGGGCGGGCTAGAAATAGGTTATAAGCTGCGCAAAGCTGCAGAAGACAATACCCATTAACCAACCTGGGGCCAACTAGTCCTCCTTGGTCACCTGAAAAACTCTCCTCTGAGCCTAGACTCCCGACCTATGCATTCAATTCTATAGTTACCGCTACGCTATCTATCGAGCGCATTTGGTTGAGGTCACTCAGTTGATGATAGAATTCATCCTTGGTTGCATCCGGGCCACAGTCCGTCGGAGCGTAGGCAGAGATGACAAAGACGTATCGTTTCTCTTGCTGAGTACTTCTTACTCGATATGAACCTGCTAGCCCAACAGCACACAGATGACTGCTGATGGGGATGCAGTCGAGTAGTGCAGATTCGTCACGAGCGCTTAGTGCGACACAAACACCAGCTAGGTCGGTTGCTGATGCCTCAGGATCCCCGGATAAGGGCTCATAAAATGTACTTTTCGAACTAACAGATGAGAACTTCACTGGGATCTTGTATGCAGGTCTCTGGAATGCATTAACGTCAGTAGTGGGGCTTTCCAAAGTTCTAACCAAACCTGTCTGTTGTCCAATCTGCATCAAGGTACGAACGTTTAAAGTGATGAGCTTAAAGGATATGCGTGGTTTCAGGATAACTGTGTCACATGGCGCACTGGAAGACGGCTTTATGAGAACAACTGTTTAGCGACCCAAGACGGTACAGACAAACCAGGAGTCTAAGCAATGGAAAGCAGTTGAGTGAGATGGATATAAAGACGAAAGCGAAAATTATAATAATAAAAAAATACAGTTCATATGTAGAAACAAAAAAATACAATAAAATAGGAATAAACTGAGTAATCGGTTAAAAAGTTTTGAGTGCGAGGAGCTTTAGTATTCGCAGAAAGGTTGATTAATAGCTTCGAAATGTTTTTATGTTGTAAGCTCATAGTTCATATATTGAGGGCCAGGATACTGCCAGGGTGACCAAACCAAATCAGGTCTCCAAGTCATCCAGATTCTTTCGTGGGTGTAGGTTGCACTTGACGTTAAATATAATCATAAATCTGTTAGTCAAACAGGTAGAGTGGCAGTGGATATCTCAGGTTTTCGTCACTCTAGACGACAATTCTCCACAAACCCTTACATGGTTGCATGAGTTTGAGTAGAAAGTCATGAGCGATACTCCATTCAAAGTCACTGCCACAGCACCTCACGGTTGACAAAGTCGAACATCTGCAGGTCAACCATGAGTAAGAATACCTATGTTTCAAAAATTATCTGGTTGAGAAGATTCGATCAATGCACGCTCTTTCAAATCTGAAGCTTTCTTAGTTTTCTCGATTTTGTTGTTCTTGAAACCCGGTCAAAAGTCATATTACTATGAATCGGAATATTTTGACCGCGATATTATTCAGACGGATTCCTTTGTAGTTGTGACGCACTATAATTGGAGAAAGAGATTAATTACTGAATTTTTGTCCTTCGAAAAGATATCCAACGCACGCAACAGTGATAATGAGCATCACATATTATTTTAACTAACTAATTTCGTCATTACTAGACCGAATTTTCCCAGGTGATAGGTCATTTTTGTAATTTGAAAGTGTCGTCTGTTTAGAGTATTCGACTGGAATAATAATTTTGATCATGATTTTTTAATTTAGAGCTATTTTACTATTTTAGTACTTGTTTCAATAGACTATCCCTTTTCTTTCTTTTTTAGGCCTTTACAGGAGGCGAAGGCGGTAAAGCAGCGGTTTGATGACTTATTTGCATCCTCTCGCTACGTGAAAGCATTGGATGCGATCAGAAAATGCAAACAAGAGAACGTTAGTTCTAAAACCCTAGTATTTTTGGAAATAGCCGTTTTACAAATTCCCGCTAAGTGCTGTTGTAGTGGTTATCATTCTGTGAAAGATGTGTAACTTTCTTAGGTTAGATCTTTATGTGCTTTGATAATAATGATGTGAACCTCAGTATTTTCTTACCCCAGTGTTTTTCAAACAGTATCATATTCACATAATTGTTTATCGACCGTTTATACTTAATATTTAAGAAATGTTTTGCTAGTACAGTGTAGTTATGAGATGGTGGAGAATATTTGCATCTAAGGGGGATGATTTCGGGTGGCGTTGTATTCTCTGAGCTGGACATTCTAGGTATCATCGTCAACACAAACATCAGAAGAAAGTTAGCTACGAGAATTTGTCCATAATTATTTTAGTAGCTTTTCCTACGACGTTGGGTGTGATTAATCGTTCCTGCCATAATCTTGTCATTACTTTCACATGCATTTCAATTACTTCCCCTACTCACCAGCACTTCTTTAAATGTTTCTTATTCGTTGGTATATTGGATCAATGTCAGTATGTTTATTGATCACTGATAAACCTGAATCCTGAACTTCTAAAACACCTGTCGTATTTTTTATCTTTTTTATAGAAGATTTTTAAAGTTTGCTAGTGTAATTCATTTCTACAATTGTCCACATACATGTATACGCGCAAAGATGTAATGTAGCACTTCACTGCTAGTGTATTTCCGTGTAGGCGAACACATAGGTCGGCCACTTTGTTCAATATGGTATTTTTCACAACTTCTGCCGTTTATTTTGTGGAAAACATTAGGCTTGTCTTCCCTTGTAATTGTGTCTTGGTTTACGTAACGTGAAGAGGTTTTCTAGATTCATGAGCTACTGCGATTCCAAAAGGCTTTTGAAACCTGGTTGTAATCTCCGAAGCCTTTTTTATATACGGTCAAACCATCCAACTGTCCGTTTCCACGATGAGTTTTCAGTTGACAGTGGATTTGACAAATATCTTTTCACGAAATTGCGTGGATAGACGTTCTTTCGAATGATGGTTATCAAATAGTTTTCTTCGTAGGGTGGATGAACTTTAATGCGTTTTTGTTCTTTTGGAAAATGTTTTTACACAACTAATTCTGTGTTCTTTGGTTGTTTGTTCTGTAGTTGAAGATTTGATAATTTCGAATTAGTATTCAATATAACCGACTTTCAAATTTCCCCTAATCCGTTCTGTTGATCAGAACATTGAAAAATGGACGTTTGTCGTTCACTTCTTTTGCAGTTATGAATTTTATGTCGTCAGTAACACTATTGATTAATTTCCAGTTCATTTCTTTGAATAATGACAGACGTATCATCTACATATCAAACCCGAAGTTTTGATTTGATCAGTTACAAGATTACAACTGCCAATCTTTGCACTAGTGCTACTGCAATCAACCAGTATATCGGTGATCCCATTGGTGTTCCTTAAGTCCACGTGAACACTTTGTCGTTGAATTGGAAACATGTTCCAAGATATAAATCAATTAATTCTATGAAACTTGTGTGCTTGAAGATATAGATATCATTGGCTAGAGGAGTCACTGTATTCTTGCTCATTTTCCGTTCAACTGAGGTTTATACAGCTATGACATTGAGTGACACCATCGGTTGCTCGTTGTCAATATGAATATCCTAAGTCTTCTTAAAACTCATTTCAGAAAGTTAACAGAGTGGTTGTACGATTCTACAAAATGTCTCAGTTTTATCAAGATTTTTGTTGATGAACTGTGTGTTAGAGTCTCTGGTAGTACAACAGTTAGTAAAACAGGGGTCCACTGCTTGTGTATTTCCAGTCTAATATAGACACATGGAAGCACAAGTCCATACGATTTCATTCACCGTTGGTTTTACTTTGTAATTTGCCCTGCTTTGATAAGCTTGTTAAAGCTCTTTGTGATCTGGGTATCGACCTTTTGAATAGGGTCTGTCTCAATAGGTTGGTTCATATTTCGACCCATAAACAAATCTTCCGCCTTCTTAACGTAGTCATTTTTATTCATGAGCCCTTCGGTGCGCCTTTTGTCAGTCAGAACTACAGCCATATCACTTTTATTTCTCAGTCTCTTAAGAGCTTTCACTTCTTTATTGGTAAGTTGAGTATAATTTTTCCTCCATACAGTCAGAGGCACAATTACTTGTCTTATTCTTAGTTGGATCTCATTGTTCAGTTCTGATGTCTTCATTGATGACTTTGTGGTAGCGAATATTTTTGTTTCCGAAGCACCTTCAGTATTGTAATTGAGTCCTTTTAGGAGAAGTTCTACAGTTTCGGTCCGAAGTTGTTTGGATAAGTTGACTGAAGTCATTTGCTTCCCACTCTTCTGTTGAGATTCTGACTGGAACGCTTTTTCCCTGCTCTTTCTATCATCTGTTTGACTTTTCCCCTCGCAGGTGTCAACGTTATAAGGTGTTCTGTTGTAAATATTCCTTCTAGTTTTCTCTTATGGCTACCAATATTTTTTTGGTATGTGAAGCTAGTCCATCAGCTTGCACAATCAAATTTTAAATGTGATATGCACTATCTTTTGACGTTACGACAAACAGATTCAACTCAACCTACTGTTATAAGTGGGCACTTAGTTGGAGTATTTATTTCATTATTTGAATCGTATGCCGGGGACTGACTTGACGTTAATTACAGTGTTTACATAGATATTTATTATTTAACTTTTCCCTTTAAATGTTCTGCAGATATAAGAGGGGAAGCACAATGAAAAACGGTCTTGTTAGGACTGTGGTTTACTTGTGCTGAACTACTTTTGGGACATCGCTTGTCAACTATTAAATTTACAGACTGTTGGCAGCATCACACGAAACCGTGCAAGTCTATATATATATATATATATATATATATATATATATATATATATATATATATATATATATCCAACATACCAAGGAGTTCAATTTCCTGCGGTGGTTGTAGTTTGAACCTAATGATTCATTGTACTAGTTTGTATTCACAGTTTAACGGGATTTTTCCAGACAAAAACATAACGTTTGGGAAGTATTTAGTATTTACTGTTGCTTCCGCTTCAATAGTAAAAGCTACGTGCTAAGAAACGCGAATTTGAAATTACTTTCTCAATACATTGGTGGTGAAATAGCATCGCTTACAATTATATTTGTGGATTTAGGTCTAGACTGAGTACATAATTATCGGTTAAGTTGTTGGGTTACATTCATTTTATACTTCTCACTGTCATTACTAAGTCGTATAAAATGATCGAAAAAATTCCGTTGGGTCGCTAAAGATCAACACAATTCATCTAAGAAATTTTTCTTTCTGGCGAATCTTTTTCAAAAACTGTAAGTCCGTGTTTATTATTCCAACGAGAAGGCATGCCCATCAACAGCTAATGAATCGACAAGAAGCATCAAGGCGATTGCCTAACAATCCAGGAAGTGATAGAGCTGGTAGTTAAAATGGAATGGTCAGTATGAAATTAAAATATACAGAGTCAAAAAAGGGGAAGAAAATAATAATGATAAATAAATGAAATGCCTAGTTGTAAGTGCAAAAGACGTTTTTAAGACGTGCTCTGTATTTTCCTTTAAATCTTACAAAGTAACTCGTTTTCTTAGTTTAAAACACCGCATCTAAAATACTTTTTCGTCCTAATAAAAGCGTTAGCAATTTTTACTCGTACCCTAACAAGCATATTCCAGTGTTACAAATTATTTCCTGATTAATGAATAGGAGGCTTATTTAGATAATACTCAACTATTATCTCCTGTATTTTGTTTACTCTAAAAAATAATCTTACAGATAGCATATCTGATATAGTTTCCTTAAATTTACGTATCCATAGGACGGCAATGTTAAACTGTATAAAACGGAGTTGAAACACTTAACGAAAAATCGTGATGATGCTTCTAAAGTAAGACATACATTCCTAATTTTTATTTCTACCTGGTTGGTTTTTACTAATATTGTTGTTGGATCTTGCAGCTAATTTAATAATAAATTTCGTTTTTATTTTATATGCGATATTTTATTCGAACACAGCTTTTCGTTTACAAACTATTTCGTTACTTGGTGGTAACCTAGGTAATATTGTCTTAGTCATTTGTACTGACTGTATCCTAAATGTCGGTGTATACAATTTGCACATTTAGCTGGTTCACGTAACATCAGTGCACTGTATTTGTTGTCATAAAATCCGGGTAATTCTATGCTGAAAATGATGTGGATTTGACTTTTCAAGGAAACGTCCTATCTTTTGGATTGTTCTTACGGGTTTACTGATAAGGTCTATACTCAAAAATTCGATTCAAAGTTTCTCATCAATTACCTACTTAGATCTACACTAAATGATTAGTCTCAAACTTTATCAGGCGATGCTCTGTTAGACAGAACATTCTTTTTTGTATGTATAACAAAGTGTGAGATTTCATTGTACTGCGCACTCATATTTTTAATCTGAAATATAGTTGAATGGTAAAAGTTGCTCGGTCTAAATCTGTTTCCTTGTTGTTCAATTTCAGCTTCGTTCTGAAAGAGAAGAAATACTCCATTCAATAGAAAAACAAGAAAGAAATTTAGAAGAAATGTCTGCTAAAATTCAACCTGTTGTTGTAAGTAAAGTAAAATTATATCTTTGGTGCTTCTTGATGACTTCAAAAACTAGGCTATCAGTTGACCTAACTGGAGACTTTTGGAGTTAAAATTGAGCTAGTATCCCATGAACGTTTATATTATATTTATTTATTTATTTGTCCCTTCTGTCGACTTGTTAGTTTTTCCCTGTAGATCTTCAAGTTTGAACGACAAGATTTAGGTCGCCATTCTTTGGAAGTTTGACAAGGTAGTCTTTCTTCCAGTCTGCAGGTATTTTTCCTTCCTTCCAAACCTTCTGCAGTAGTAGTGTGAGCATGTCCGCTGTTGTCTCTGCGTCTGTTTTCAGTGCTTCTGGTGGGATTCCATCTGGTCCTGCTGCTTTCACGGCTTTCAGCAACTTTATGGCGTTCAGGGCTTCACTTCTGCTTTTGTCGGAGGGCCTGTGTTCACTGGTGGTTCCAAAGCGGGACTGCTGGTGGTATTTCTGAATGAGTTGCAGGTGGTGGTCGATTCAAGAGCTTTTTGAAGTGGTCAGCACATCGTTTTCTTTGTTTCTCCTCTTTGCTAACTAGGTTTCCTTCACTATCTTTCATTGATTTCATCTGTGCTGTGTTGATGTCTTCTCTATCAGATAGTGACCTGGTTATTTGATATAATGTTGTCAGGTCTCTCCTACCAGCTGCCAGCCTGTTCTGCTTCACTTGCAAGTGTGTCGTAGAAGTGTTTTTTGCCTTTCGACGGACTCTTCTTCACTCCTTTGTCCAGTGTTGTGTAGGTTGTATTCAGTTCCGCTTTTGGCTGTTAATCCGTGCACTGCACTGGTTCGCCTGCTTCACCATCTTCCTCTCCCTGCTCTATCGGCCTCAATGTGTCCGTGTAGATCCATTCCTTGTCTTATTTCTTCCCATATCTCTTTCAAAGAGTTCTAGTGTTCTTCCACGTAGGTTTGTTCACGGATGTTGCTTAATGTCTCCCATTTTGTTGTGATGACTGACGTGAAAATGTCTTTTGTGGTTTCGTCCTTTAGTTTTTGGGTGTTGAACTTGAACTGTGGTCTATCACCAACTTCTGTGAAGGCCTTCAATTTGATTTTGTAGGTTCCTTGCACTAGGTAGAGGGATCTGAATCTACATCTGTTCCTCTTCTTGATCTGAGCTTATGTCCGGTTGGCTGGCTGCGTCTCCACTTTCTTGAGACTGAGATGAAGTCGATCTGATTTCTAGTGTGTCCTGGTGTCTGATGAAATCCATGTCGCTTTATGATGTCCTTTGATTTAAAGTAGCTTGCCTTAATGTGAAGTTGTTTTAGTATCTGATGTTTTGTTCATTATCTTTGCTGGAAACTTGCATTTATACTTCGCAAAGAAGTTGTTTAAAACATTACCTTACTTTTAGAATTATTATACGTTTCTAACGAAAATATTTTGACTTCCTATCAGATAGTCTTGGCAAGTAGGCTATTCTTATTTAAGGGTATGATTTTGCAGGCTTAAAAGAAAACTAGGTTCGCTGGAGGATTCGGATCAGTGCTCTACTGATTGAACTGCAAGACCGAGCTACTTCTCATTTTTGTTTCAGTTATCCAGGTTTCGCCTGTCTTCCTCGTGAATAAGGGGTCCATGACTGTCCTTTCATTGTCTCATTAGCTGTCTAACCAGGTATTCTTGGCCCGTTTCTTATGAAGCTGAATCAGCAGGAAAGGGCGTAAGACTGATTATTGATTAAAAGTAGAGAGTATCTAGAAAAAATCTGACTGCAAACTTCCTAGGCAATGCATTATTCGTCTGTTCATCGCCATGTGACAGTTTATTTAATATTTTTACACTCCATGCTAGAACTCAAGAATCACTCCAACTACTCAAAAACAAGCAAGACCACTACTGCTGATGATACTGGACATTACTCATACTGTTTCACCCGTTAAACCTAACTTCTCCACTGTAGATGTTTCTGTCCTAACTTAAACAATTTAATTAATATCTCTTTCTAAAGTTAATATTTATTGAAGCTGTTTCTAGCTAATGAGAAGCCACTAAGTAAAATCAATACATTTCATTTTCTAAATATTATTTTAAAGAAATAGTTCATTATCACGAAAATTCGGGTCTAAACTTATGTAAAAAACTACCACAAACCTTGTGAATCGTATTTTTAATGTTAACATTGTTGTCTAAAGAGAATGTAACGTTATTAACGTCCGTTTGGATAGTACAGACCGCTTAGCAGTTATCAGTAGTGTATATAGATCTGCATAACAACTTAAATAACAATATGATAATTTTTGATTTGTGTTTCTCATTTCTCTTCAAGTTCAAGGCATTGTCTTGGAACTGTTATGCATCTGTACCCACTTGGTTTACCTGATAAGTCACACAAATTCATGTGCGTTAGTGCCTAGCACAGTCCTGGCTTAGATACAAAAGACTGAGTTAGTTTTCACCGCTTTATTCCACCTCTGCTGTCGACAAGTATCCCAATACCTATTAAAGTTTGGACGTATCGGTGAAGTATACTGTCATTGAGTCATGCGTTACGCATTTGTCAGCGAAGGTCAACAGTCGGCCATTTTTCTTCTCAGCGTCAGGTATCACTTGTGCATACCTTAGAGTTTTTCCATCAGGTCAACCCTGAAAACGCTTTGCATTGTTGAATGTAAAAGAAATGTAGTATCAAAATATATTTGTTTGCAAACCGCTTTAAGACCTACTTTTATCACTTTTAAAGGAACAACTCAATCGTTACAAAAAGCGCTACGCAGAGCTTACACAACTGCAAGCTGAGATTAGTAAGTTTAATGTCATGTAAATTTTTTACTGTAAATTTGATCAGTGGGTAGAAGAGTTGAATACTGCCATTCGGGATTTTAAAGGAGCATACTCTACTTAAGCGTTGTAAATTCTTTTTATCAATTAGTTGCTCGTACTCATCTGCCTCCAAACCATCTCGAGCGATCTATCACTTTAGTACACTGGTGTTGTCCATTTTTTTATGACTTCATATTTCATACAAAGTGGGGTTTGTTCGCCAGTGAACAAAATCAGTGTTTGGGTGTACGTCTGGTGATCCTTGTATGTACACAATCAAATTTTTCGCTTATATATTCACAATAATTATAAAGTGTTGATTAGGCTTTTCCCGATAATTCAATCTGGGAATAAACATTTTTATTATCCTAACAGTTAATTTCCTAATGAAAATATTCTATAAACTTTACAGAATCTTGTGAAGCTGAACGTGTTCATTTGACCGATACTATCACAAATTTAATGGCAAATATACATGACGAATTTAAAGGTAAGAATGTGTTTACTACTCTACTCTTCTTCGCCCCACACTTCTTTACTCATCCACTACCTTTCGAAGCTGCTTTATCATTCCTTTTATTCGATTTTAGTTGATTTTTATGAGATGTATCACACAGTAGAACAGTATCATTTACTGGATTACGTTTCGGACACAATTTATTGTCCAAAGTCATATGATTTCTTTTAATGAATCTAAAGCGACAGTCGCGCTTTTGTATTGTGTCAGGTTTTTAGTGTTTAACAATACTGTGTTCCTTTAATTCTTTCACGAGAATAGCCACTTAACTAACACATTACTAAGTTTGGATCTACTGACTGTCATTCTCTTTCTTGAAATAATGACTGCGCAGCATTTATTAAAACAAAAAACTGACTGGAAATAAATAGGTTTTGATAGTAGTAAAATGAATTCACTTTATTGTAGTCTATTTAGTGATTAGCAGTGAAATCTAGGATGCGCCTTTCGTCCTATTTGGGACTCGTCGTTTAAACCTGCCTGAACTGCAGTGAATGATGTTGTTCTCACTGAGAATTGAACACAGTATCCATCGCTTCAAACACCAAAGCGTTATCCATTAGGCCGCTGAGATACGAAAGCCACCACTTGTGAATTCACTTTATCTTATATTAGCCCATTATCTGTCAACAACCTTAAACAACCTTAAACGTAGGAGAAATGAGTAGACTAAGCTTGGAAGGTGGCTTTGAAGTAGTCTGGGAAGATTGTGCAAGTGTTTTTTGGTTTTTATCAGTCGTTTAATTAGTTTTCTTATCATTATGAATGGTAAAGAGTTTGTATTTCAATATTTAGCATAATTTATTAGAAATTTGATTGTTATACTTTTATCCTGATAAATCCTATTATATTCAGTTACATTGGCATCTACGGATAATAGTTTCAAGATTATATTTATTTAAAACAGGAAGTGATGAAGATTTGAAGTATTTGATAGAGGATGCTGAGACAGAATATGAGAAGAAAAACTTTCAGCTCAGCCAGGTTTGTAACCGTCCACTTTATAAAATTAATTTTAACACACTAGTAGTTGTGTTTTTATCGTAATTATTTATACGGTACGAGTGTTATTATGCTTAAGGTTCACATTGACTAGCAGTTAAAGGTCTGAATTAGCCATCTACCATATTTTTCCTCCTACTTGCTCAATACTTAATTTGATGAAATGGAGGAAATTTATCTTATGAAGTATTTTCCGCAACTGTAGTTTGTAGGAAGGTACCTATCACAGCCTTCATCATCATCAAAGTCAAGATAGGACTGCATAGCGGTGCAAGTTGCTACATTTCATATCAGCACATCTAGTAACAAGGAAATAAATGGAAGATGAAGAAAGAAAGAGAAACCGGTTTAACGAAGTAGAAAGTAGTAGTAGAGAAGAAGGAGGAATGAGAAAATGATGAGGTCAAGCATATTGGTCAAACTGAAGGTAATTTGAGTATACATCTGTACCACTGACATCGATTCTGAGCCATATAACTTAGAGTCTCCAACCACTGGTTTCTCTTGTCCCGTGAACTCTGACCGGCAAGTCTGCATCGCCCCACATGGTTCGAACGAACAGTCAAAGACTTCATGCATTGATGCCATGTTTTAGTCTGGCTATCACGAACCTTTTTCTAGCCTGAAGCTACTTTGGCTAACGTTGAGCGGAGGGCCAGTCGTTGGCTTATTATACTCAACACACGTCGCAGCCATCTCAGTCGATGAAGGTTCACAACCACACCTACCAACTTACCTCTTCTGCCTAAAACTCTACATCTGACTTCTGCGTTACCCACGCAGTGACACCACGAAACACGGCGTATGCTACGAAGGCAACGGTGTTCAAACACCTGGGGCTTTCTAATGTCTTCTACTTTTAATGGCCATGGTTCATAGCCGTACAGTGGAACAGAGCGGACCGCAGCACAGTACACTCGATCCTTAATAGATAATCGGATTTCGCGGTAACGCCACAGATGGCGTCAGTTGACGAAAGCCAACCAAGCCTTTTGTATCCGATGGACGACATGCCAGACAGTATCTTTCTTTATGTTTGAAGTTCGTGCTAGCTAGAAATAAACGGTTATCGAAGGACATTTGTAGTAGGTGATCACCGTTATCTGTTCGTTCAGCTGGGATTCTGAAGGCGCCACCTAAGTGCCTTTCTGCCTCACTCAGTCTACCCAACTGTCCATTAAAATCATCCACAATGACAACCACCTCTGAAAGTTTGGCTTTCGGAAGGAGACTAGATAGATACTTCATCTAGACTGTAGTCAGTGGATGCGTAAGAGACAACGGCGAGTTTCACTATTTCTTTTAGTTCTCACTGTGCCGTTTAGTCGGACAACGCATAGGTGACTGTCAACCAGGATCCAATCTTGCAGTGAGCACCTTGCCCTGGTGCATAGTGCTATGTCTACACCTCCAAGACCTCGAGAACTAGCCATCAAATCTCCAGGAACTCGAAGGGTGAATTTTGCAGATTTACCATATTGGCCAAGAGAGGTTAAGTGAATGGCCTTATTAAGGTCCTGTATGCGAGTCCCACAAACACAGCACATATCTATGGCCCAAGTTGCTACAGTTTTGGTCAATAAAGCTTATTGGTTAACTTGACGGAGGATGCGGACATTGGGGCTCTGATGTGTAGTTTGGAGCGTGGTTTTAAGTGACTAGGGATGCTGTTTTGTGGACTCAAATCGCTGTCAAAAGCTACAGAGCCAGAAGAATTCAAAGATGATGTAGGATTGTTAAATGAGAGAAGTGAAGGAAGATTATAAGACAAGAATGAGGGAGGTGGATAGTGGTCTGAGGGAACTTGAGCGCTGACAGAGTTGTGAGGGCGGTTAACACTGCCCCACTGTCCACACCGTGGAAGGTTAGGTCTTCTTCAGGTACCTGAAAGGGAAAAAGATTTGTGTGGCTGCAGAACTCATGAGACATCTGCTTTAAGACCTGTCACACATAGCGTTTTGTGGGTTGTTGTTTTGAGGCTTGGTCGTCCTAACGCCGTATAGACAAAAAGTAGTACGACTGACTCTGAGAGACTGTGCGGCATGGTGGAGAGTGCATTTTTACTTCATCTGCTCTTCATTCTTTATTTTTAGTGGTAGTAGAATTCTCCATATCTCTTGAATGTGTATTGAATCATTCTCATTCCATAAATTGCCATTAGTCCGGTGAACAAGGACTCAGTAATCGATTTCTCTATCTGACTATATTCATCTTAAGTACTGTTAACACCTCCCACTCTGTTGTATGATTCTGTTAGTTCCATCCATTACAAAAGCTGGATTCTTATCTGAGTTACTGATTTGAAAGTTAGCCAAGTGTCTGTAATGTTAGGGCAGAACTTAGGGATTGTGGCAGAGCATAATTCCACATTAGATTGTTTATTTGATGATATGGCACACAGTGACCAAGTATAATTTACTGGATGACGTTTCGAGCAGAATTTATTACTCATATTCATATCAAAGATGTGCCCCAAGCGTCATCCAGTAAATCACACTGTGCCACTCGGTGGAACTAAGTGTCTGTACTTTGATGATCCAAGGGAATCTGGTTATCTATTTTAACCTATGTACTTGACCATGCGGTCATTACATAACATCTACAAGTTTGGATTGTTTCGTTAAATTAGATCAATATTATCTTTAAACTGACAGAATTTTAAAGTTGTAGGTTTAAATACAGTCCTTATTCCAGACTTATAAAGAATCCCATGTAGACTCTCTCGTATTTCCTTTCTTCAAGTAGCAGCAATAAAAGCATTTGATCCTCTCATATGTCTTCATTCGTAGTTAACAGAACGATTATAAAGGATTTTCGTCTGTTGTTTCTCGAAAACAAGTTTGTCGATGGAAAAGCCTCTGAGTCTTTGGAATTATTTTATATTTTTAAATTATTTGCTACATATAAACCAACGTAGCCCTGTCTAAATTTACCAATCCAATCATTTTAACTTAAAAGTCGATTTGCATGTAGAACTAAAACTATTGGTCAAGCGTAAAATGTTGCAAAAATCTTGAATGCACTGCTCAGTTTGCCTAAAAAGAAGAGTCCTGAGGTTGTTTTCTCATAAAAGTTTGAACCCTATGTCCAGAGCTCTCTTCTAGTGTAGTGGATTATCCGCTTGGTTTCAAAAGTACCCTGATTGGCAGATATTGAGGCTTCACGTTATGGACAGTCCGTAAATATCCACGTCCCACTTTATTTCTAGTTCGTCGTCTAGTATCTTACATTTCAACAGCTTTTTTGATGGAGACGTAAATCCTCCCAAGCGTCCCTGCAGACCACTGCTGCATGAATTCAGTGTTGTTGAAGTTCATTTGAAGGCTTGTGGGGATTTTGTGGATTTCAGATTGATATTCATCATGGAACTCTTTAAAACTTATGTGGAAGGAAACCTGCATAACCGTATTATGAAGGAAGAAGAAAGAGGACAAGGAATAGATCTTGACGGACACATGGAAGCTGATAGACGAGAAGATGGTGAAGCAGAAGATGAACCAGTGCAAGGATGCACAACGAAAAGACGAACTGAGTACAACTTATAAAACGCTGGACAAAGAAATGAAGAAGAGTGCATGCAAAGACAACAGACACTTCTACCACACATTGGAAAGCGAAGCAGAAGAAGTCAGCTCAGACGAAACTTTGGAAGATAGTGGAGGAAACTTAGTTACCAAAGAGGAGAAACAAAGGAAGCGATCGGCTGACCACTTCAAAAAGCTCTTGAATCGACCACCACCTGCAACTCATTCAGAAATACCACCAGCAGTCCCGCTTTGGAACCACCAGTGAACACAGGCCCTCCGACAAAAGCAGAAGTGAAGCCCTGAACGCCATAAAGTTGCTAAAAGCCGTGAAAGCAGCAGGATCAGATGGAATCCCACCAGAAGCACTGAAAACAGACGCAGAGACAACAGCGGACATGCTCACACTACTACTGCAGAAGGTTTGGAAGGAAGGAAAAATACCTGCAGACTGGAAGAAAGACTACCTTGTCAAACTCCCAAAGAAGGGTGACCTGAATCTTTGCGAGAACTGGCGCGGAATCATGCTCCATCCCTGTCCACCCAAGGCAAGCAAAATATTATGGCACATCATCCTGGAGAGACTAAAGGATGCACTGGATTCAAAACTGTGACTGGAATAGAATAGCTGGCTGGCTGGCTTCAGGAAGTACAAATCATATGCGAATCAAATCGCAACGCTTCGTATCATCAAGAACAGAGCATGGAACGGCAGTCAACTCTCTACCTCAACTTCATGGACTTTGAAAAGGACTTCGACAGCGTCGATCAAGATTTAATTTAGCAGGCAGATGCTTCAACACTACGGAGTGCCACAAATCTTTATCAACCTCATTCAACAGCTATATGAAGACGCTACATGTCAAGTGATCCACAATGGAAAGCTCAGTGATGCCTTTGAAGTGTAGACAGGAGTAGGACAAGGCTGCCTACTATCACCGATGATCTTCCTGATTGTGGTTGACTGGACCATGCAGCGAACCGTGAAGAGCGAGTAGATGGGCATACGCTGTTTGACCGATGAAAAGAGCCTAGAAGATTTGGGTTTCGCCAACGATAATGATTTCTGTCTAGTGTCTTGTCGCTCAAACTCGAAGATCTACAGGCAAAAACTAACAAGTTGACAGAAGAGACGAGGCGGCAAAGACGGGACTTCAAGCGAACGTAGAGAAGATGGAGGTGATGAAGATACCCAACCAATGCCACCACCAACAACAACAAGCTCCAATCACTATCAATGGGAGAAACCTACAGGAAGTAGTTTCTTTCACCTACCTAAGCAGCATCGTTTCAATTACAGATGGCACAGACGAGGATGCCGAAGGCAGGATCGGAAAAGCAAGACAGGCGTTCATTAACCTAAAACCAGTGTGGAGATCTGCACTCAGCATGTGTAACAAGATCCGGATTTTCAACACTAGTTCAGTCAAGTAAGTCAGTGCTTCTATGTGATGATTCAGAGACTTGGCGCGTTACGAAAAGTATTTCCAACAAACTACAGATATTCATCAACAACTGCTTCCTACGCTTACTCGTTACTGAAGATCAGAAGGCGAGAAACAGTAAGTAACAAGGAACTCTGGTCGGCTGGCAATGAACCAGCGAAGCAAGAACCTATCACACAACAAATATGCAGAAGAAAGTGAAGATGGATTGTGCATACACTGAGAAGTCGACTGGGGACATCACGTTCCAGGCACTCGAGTGGAATCCAAAGGGGAAGCGATGGGTTGGGCGTCCGAGGGTGACATGGAGGAGATTGTGTGAGGAAGAAATGAGAACTTGTGGACAGTTGTGGAGCCAGGTTCAAAAGATTGCAGAGAACAGAGTGGAATGGAGACATGCTACTGAAGCCCTATATTCCATTAGGAACCCAAGGGAAAAATAATGAATAATAATAATTATAGTTCATCATGGACTGACATCAGTTGGAGAAACTTTGGAAACCTGGGAGCACTGGATAGCTTTTTCGTCGCAGGTGCGCACTGCTGAGAAGTTCCGAACTAGGACGAAGCAAGTGTCCAGTGCCTCCATGTTTCCAATATTTCTCCAACTGTTGTTAAAGTCATTTGACTTTGCAATGACAGCTTCATGCGTAAATATCAAAGAAAAACAAAAAATTGTTAATATCCTAAATTACAAGTCATCTCCGTTATTTCTTTTTTTTAGTCTGTGGATATTATCATTTAGAAATTGATCTTTGTAACTATCCATTTGTAAGCCATTCACCTCGTTAATTTTTACCTAATCATAAAGGCATCTCAAAATCTATCCGCTTTGAAAGCCTCATGCAGGCCATACCACTTATTTTTCACTATCTCAGGGATTATCAGTGAGACAACTAATAGTTTTACTCGTGTATATTTAAAAAAAATGGTTAAACAGTGTTGTCGTCTTGTTGGCATTGAATAAGGCAGTCGAAAAGTTGTTTTAAATTTGTTTTTTCCTCCTTCACTTTCGATAACTCTCTACCACTTTTGATTACTTTCTTCTTGATGTTTCTATTTTTCATCTTGGGGCCTTCAAACTTTCTGTACTGATATGAGATGTGGCAACTGCACCGTTACTCACTATTGCTAGGTTGCATGTCGATACCGAATGGTTGTTTTAGATTCTAATATTTGCGTGCTAAAATCCTACTTAAATATTACTATTGCCTGGTTAACATCGGTCGGTGTTCCACTTTTGCTTTACATACTAATATTGCTGTCAGTATGAAAACCTCCTACAAAGAAAACGTAAAGAGTTGACTACTTTGGAAGCTAACCGGACCGAAATCATGGTCGAACAAGCACAAGTAGAAATGGAACTTAGGGTAAATAAAAGTTTTTCTCATTCTTTTTCTCTGGTTTTCATTTTTTGCACCGTATTATGAAATTGTAGAAGCGAATCAGATTTGATCATTCTTTTTTGAGTCAAAGTGTTATCTGAATTTACATATACGGATGTACTGAACTGAGTTTTATGCTTAAAACTCTGCAGAAGATACGAGTTTCTTTTATTAGAAACTTTAAGGTTAATGATTCTTCACTGATGATAGTAAAAATACCAGCTGAATTCAGAGTTCATTGAACTGATTTTTGAAAACCCTAATACTGTATTCATATCTGCTAAACGCTGTCTCAGCTATCGCGTCATCAGTTTTTTAGCTACTGAAGTTTATCACTTCATTTAGTACGTAATATTACAAGTTAAATTATAGGTACAGCAGTATTATGTCTTAGGCCGATAGCTACATCTATTTTGAGAAGACTAACGATCCTTTCTTAACTATCTAAATGGTAGTACATTGATGAGAGTGGAAGCCGTATAACTTGAATGATTATAAACTGATTGACTGAAACTCAATATGATTGGTAATGTACACTTCAAATGAATTACCAATGCTATCTGTATAATCGGGCTGGTTTTTTCGATCATCCTTGCTATCTTGGTATCAAATTGCTATTTTTTTCAACTTGACACCAATGATTTTCTTCGCTTAAACCATCTGAATCTAGTTAATTAATCCCTCAATAGATTGAGAAATCAAAAATAGTTCGAGCAACCTAGTTGAGGTTTTGGTTGTTTATTTGCCAGTAAAAATTCATAACTAATGGTAAACAAGTACTTTTGTTCATTTTTAAACGATTACTTATGGATGCCTTCGTTGTTACTACATTTAAAGTATTCGTTACTATTGAGAGAGTATACACACATCCAACATCTTAGTTAGGCATGTCTTTTAAATGCTTCCTATGCACAAATTATAATTTCAGTGGGTCGTAATCTATGATTAAATACACGTCCTATTATTTACTAGAAGGTATGAACGAAATATCATTATCGAAATGGGAAAAAAGTGAATTCCAATGTGCATTTTATGATGATGGTTATTTCACAACTCTACCAATCACTTGTAGAGTTTATGATACACCTCATACTCTGCTACTTCGTAAACGATGTTTCATTTTTTCAGTTTTCTCCAATATTTCCATCATGGTACATGAGGGAGGGAGCAGGTTAGATATTAAATTCTTGTTGTCGGGTCTCTATCGTTACACTGTCCACTTTCAGACTTTACAGTGAAATCCTGTCTTAATAAAAAAAAACGCTTTTGCCGGATGTTGCGAACTTAGCATTCAAAATCGTTTTTATAAGATAATGAGACGAATGATTTTTACTTTAGCTTGAATTGTAACTCAAGAGTGGAGGATTCCTAAATATACTCAATTTTCAACCGGATTTTGTTTTATCGTGCTGCTTATCTCTTATTTGCAGCGTTTAAACGAAGCAGTAACCGGTCGTGATATGATTTTAGCATCAGTTGTTGCAAACCACGTTCCTGGTATGTTATTTAAGTCTTATAAAGTGTAAAAAGACATTCATTGGTTTGAATCATTAGAATATGTAGAAGTTTGTTTTTTATATCATCAAATTGTTCAAAATTTATTTCATCCTCCTTAGTTGTTTTGGTCTAAATAAGATCATTGTTTGAATTTACAAACACGAAAAGCTTTCAGTCACTTTGACTTATACTAAGTAATAATAATAATCCTTTCACCTGCTGCATGGGCTTGTCACTTCCCAAAATTGTAACTTCTACTTCTTAAAAAATGTTTCTTGACGTAAAATAATACTTGAGTTGTTCGTAACGGATTGGGATAAATAATGTGGAAATAAATGTCAAGTTGATAGTGAAAGTGAAGCGAATAGCTATGAACTTTTAATAACTCTGTTGATCAATTCAATCGTAAAACAACTTTGTAAAAGAGATCCCTACTAAATAAGATATAATTTGGTTGGTAAGATATAGTTGGGACTTAGAAGTTAACCTTACGAGTGAATTCTTTCTCGAGATCAGACAAACAGAAAGTTCTTAAGGAAAGTAAATATTCAATATCTGATAGGGTAAACGCAGCGAGAATTCTCAATGTCGTTCACAACAATACATCTTAATGGGATTTACAGTTCATCACTGACTGTGTTAAGGTCCTTCCAAGTCTTATGCGGCACAGCATAATATTTTGTCCAAGGTACATAACCAATAAGCATGAAGAATACAAATACAGAGATTTATAAGTCATAGAAATATGGGTTGCGTTAAGGAAAATTGCTTTCACCAAATTAGTTAACTTTCAGGGTTTTTTTATAATGCAACCATTGATGTTTTATAAATTACAAAGCTGAAGTAAATCAGATTGATCTTCAAATGTGTAACTAAAATTATCATTTTAAGTTTTGTGCAGGCAAATCGTAAAATATATCAGGATAGCCGAATTGCACTGGTTTAAATGCTGGGTAGTTTTCTCATCACTGTGATTTAGATATTTCACTAAATCTCCTCTGAGAAAACTACACTTATATGAAAGGATTTGGAATATTTCTTTCATTCTTAGTGTAAGTAATTTTGATTTCTATGCTCAACAGTTAAATAATTCGACATTAATTGCGTCCTTCCATGAAGTCAAAATACTACACTTTTCATTATTACTATTATTACTCAATTTTATATGCTTCGAATCGCTTTGCTCTTCCTTTGACTTTGGGGAATATCTGTAGCACATCAAACAAGCAATATCGAAATCCGAAGAAAGAAATTATATATATGTGACTGTTGTGTGTGATCACCCACCGAAAGTCGATCACAACTTTGAATACTCCACTCTTTTTAGCTTTACAAATATAATATTTTACTCTTTTTAAAACCATGGTACACCTACGTAGTCTGTTATTGTGAGTAGTAAAAACCTTCCTGCCTGTAAATTGCAATTGAAGACTATTTAACCATCCTTATATGATGTGAACAGTTTTCTCATCGAGGTTACCCAGTGAAGGAAGACGTTGCTAATATCTGACTGAACATATTAGAATTGTAGTTTGATATTTCTGACAAAGTAAATTAGCATATAGACAGATACAAAGTCTCACAGCCCATCGATTCAAGTTGCCACACTTCATAGCAGCATGCAAGGAAGTGAATCCTAACCTACTACTATATCTTTTGACCACTACACAGTCAGTCAATATCAACATGGGACGTGGCAATTCTACAAAACAGACCAATTTGCTATGCTTTACATCAGTACATCAAAATACGACGCAGCAAAATTCTTGTAAAGTGAAAACTTTTTTGTGTAGTACAATCATTAATTAACCCTCACTTGTGCATTGTTTCAACTGCCCACGAATAATAATCAAAAAAGAAATGACAAGAACCGACGAGAGTGTTAGCTCCTAAAGTAATCAGCATCAACTGGCTAAAAATGAATCATATTTATAGCAATTCTCATAGTACTCATACGATAGTCAGTATGATGATTTGGGGTTTCTGACTAGTTTTAAATCGAGTTGTACTAATAATGTAGTTGGGTGATCTCAATCATAGACAAGAGGTATCAATGCAAAGTAATATGAAAGAAAATACCACTTATCATGTAGAAGTTTCTCTAAGAGCAATCATATTTTCCTACAGAAAGGCAAATAGAAAAAGGTGTAATCAGAAGTCGGCGAGTCATCAGAACAGCCGAGCAGGAGTTGAAGCAAATAATGAAGTGCAATATGATGATTAAGATGAAGATAACGTATGAATGCTTCTCTGATGATAAGCCATATCTTTTAGAATATTCACCTGTCGATTTCGGTTGTCACTTGGACCCCACTAGGAGGTCACTTATCAGCCCACCGCAATTCTGCTTTTGAAACACTTAAATGCCTCTTTTTTTCTTCATTTTACTATGGGACTCTAGTTTGCAGTCACCGCAGGTAATATTGTGCGACGAGGTAAATGGTGATTGGGCGTGCGTAACACATATCCCAGCAACCTGAGTTGATGACTGTTTTAAACCTCACCAACTGACCTACTTCTTTCACCTAAAACTCTACGTCTAAATTCTACGTTATATACTTTCTCTTCCCATGTCATAACGTACACTGCGAAGGTAATGATGGTCGAATACCTAAAGCCTTTCTGATATCCTCTACTTTTGATGATTATGTTTCACATCCATGGAGTAGGACGGAACTAACTGCTGCGCAGTGAACTCGGCCCTTAATAAGCAATCGGATCTTACGGCAGCACAGTAGATGGCTAAGGCTAATGGAGCATTTTGTATTCATGCTGCTATTTCGTCGATCACTGACTCATCACTGATAGTTTAACTTTCCAAGCAGATCAAAGTAGTAAATCACTCGACTCCCTATTGTTAAATGGATCGTCATATTAGACTGGTCATGAAGCAGTGATTTCTTTTTGGATGGTGTGAGATATTCGAAACATTTCAGTTTGTCACTCAAGGTGCTCAGAATACTCTAAATTGTACCAGCATCTGCACCTAACGGAACTGTGTCGTCTTTGCACTCTAGTTTTAATGTAGCTAGGTTAGTCCCTATGAAGTCAGACGACGCTAGAGGGCCTCGATAAGTACTTTTAAATTCAACAAGAATGGAGAACGTGGACATTTTTGAGAAACGCTGGTTGATGTATACATCCCATCTGATAGTTCACCTTAAACTATGACACACCCAGCCTTCAACAAAGTGATTTAACTACTAGGTACCTACAGTAAATGACACTCCCATAAGATCTCTCGACCGATAGGAATACGATGACTGCCGGATGCTGGTACTTTGTCTGTGGATCGAGACGCTGTGGAAGATGGAGACCCCAATACATCTACAATCATGTCCGAAACCTGTCTGGTTTTCTCGAGATGCTTCCTCCTGAACTTTATTCAGGCATCTAACTATCATTATACTAAAATCGTAGGTTCTATGTTCGCCGCACTGATTCCTTTATGGTTATTACAGGAGTATTTCTCTCATTTCTTTAAGACTCTAACAACCAGTGATTGAGGTTGGTTACAGGGGAATCATATTTGATTCTTATACACCGTCTAGAACTTCATTTAATCTAGCCAGTAATCTTTGGCCAGCGTCCTTAAATATCTGCAGGGCGAGTTCATGGGGCCTACTGTCCTTCCTCGTTCCTGCCTTTTTTCAGTTACAGACCCTATCTCACTGTTCTTTTCAGGATGTGATTGGATGACGGGTGGATAGAGACTACTTAGAGGTCAGTTGAACTTTCCCCAATCCATTGTTCTAGTGGTTTCCCACATGAGATCTCAGATCCAACTTTCTACACATCAGCCTCACTAACAACTATCTGTTTCATCTCACTTTTCGTGATTATTTTAAGAAGCTATTTACTCTTATCTATTGCCACTGCTTTTTTTCATTTTTACATTTTCGCTACCGACCACTGCTCACACTTATTGTGTAAACTTTTTGTCAGTCTGCATTTGAGTTACTTCCGCTCCTCATTTGCTTCGAAGCTATTTGAGTGGGTTTGCATGCACCCATCAGTTTAGAAGAAGCTGATGAGGTGTACTTATCCCTTCTAACCTTTTTCTGAGGTTTACTGCACAACCTACTAATACAACTGAAGAGAAAGACAAAATCAGTGAGTCAGGGAAGGATTGCAGACGAAATCAATTTTGCATTAATTTTCTGGGAGGGGATAAAGAAACAAATACAACTGTACAGATCAAAATATATAGGTGATTCAACAATCATTGATTACTCATGAATTCATGAATTAGCTCTGGATCTCCTTTAGTACTTCTTACTTCTTAAACTTTCTAATATTGAGACACGAAACCTAAGTCCTAGGCTACCTAACAATTGACTTCCTGCAACTAACATCAAAACCCAGTGCACTGCGGTGTCTCATCATTTCGTTCAGTGACCACGTTTAAAATTTGATCGATAGACTTCGGTTAGGATGTCACTTTTTGCTTTACATATTAGTTTGCTAGTTGCTTTTAGTCACTAGATATATATGTATATATGTAGTCTGTGTCTCTTAGTGTAATATGATAAAGCCATTCGCCAGATTCAACCTCTGTAACGATGTTACGTGCTACGTCTACATATCATGTACTTTCAACTCACAGAGCTGGATTCAAATTTAAGTTAGACATTTCCATACCAAGTGGGTTTGGCAGCAGTAGATTCAGAGAATACATCCGTTTAGTTTATGGAGAGATAGGTCACCATTCGATCAATAATATATTACCAAACAACTGATGTTTCTGTTTATTCTACGTAACAAAGTAACTACGTTTTAACATATTCCTATATTCTAGGAGATAAATATACAGATGTCAAACAGTTTTGTGATGCAGACGTACAGTACATAATGGAGCATATGGAAGGGTTGTTACATGAATCTGAAAACCAATTAACGGAAATTAAGGTGAGAATTAAGTATTAAGTATTTAGATCTTTTATCATTTTTCTTGGAACCTCGCCTGGTTAACTAGTTTACTAGTTACTAGCCGGTCCTAAGCCCGGGTAAAGAGGGAAGGTTGGGCATAGGGCTAGCAACCCTACCCCGTAAAACAAATCTAACCGCTAAAGAAACTTCAAAGCACAAACAAAATATAAAAAATGAAAACAAACTTATACCCCGCTGGAATCGGAGAGGCGAAATGACGCCAGTTGGTGAAAGCCTTCGGGAAGCCAATTGGCCGATGTGTCTTCTCTCGATGAAAGCGAAAGTAAACGTGGGGACATGGAATGTCCGCACGATGTTTGAACCCAGTAAGGCAGCCCAGATTGCAAAGGAGATGAGAAGGTATAACATCGAAGTGCTTGGGATTTGCGAAAGCAGATGGAATGGGAGTGGACTCTCCAAACTGTCAACTGGAGAATCAATAATCTACTCCGGTCACCCAGACGCCAACCACGAGCACACTGAGGGAGTGGCTATCATGATGTCCTCAAGAGCATCGAAGGCTCTCATGCAGTGGGAACCAATCTCCTCCAGGATCATGACAGCAAGGTTCAACTCAAAAGGAAGAAAGGTCACAATCATACAATGTTATGCACCTACAAATAATGCAGAGCAAGAGAAAAAGGAGGATTTCTACAGACAACTTCAATCAACACTGGACAAGACGTCAGTTGGCGATATCAAAATTCTAATGGGCGACATGAATGCCAAACTGGGAGGGGACAACACGGGAAGAGAACTAACCATGGGTCGAGAGGCGCTAGGTGAAATGAATGAGAATGGAGAATTGTTTGCAGAATTCTGTGCATTCAACGATTTGGTGATTGGAGGCAGTGTGTTCAGGCACAAGGATATCCACAAAGCGACATGGATTTCACCAGATGGACACACTAAAAATCAAATCGACTTTATCTCAATCTCAAGAAAATGGAGACGCAGTCTACTTAACACAAGGTCAAGAAGAGGAGCAGATGTAGGTTCAGACCACTATCTAGTGCAAGGAACCTTCCAAATCAAGTTAAAAGCCTTCAAGGAAGCTGGTGATAGACCTCAATTCAAGTACAACACTCGGAAACTGAAGGATGAAACTACAAAGGAGATCTTCAAAGCAGCCATCAAGACAAAATGGGAGACGTCGAGGGACATCCCTGAAGAAACCTGTGTGGAAGAACACTGGAAGTCTTTGAAAGCTATGTGGAAAGAAACCTGCACAGCCGTATTAGGAAGGAAGAAGAAAGAAGACAAGGAATGGATCTCGACGGATACCTGGAAGCTGATAGAGGAGAGGAGGATGGTGAAGCAGAAGATAAACCAGTGCAAGGATGCTCAACGACAAGAGGAACTGAGCACAATGTATAAAACACTGGACAAAGAAGTGAAGAAGAGTGCACGCAAAGACAAAAGACACTTCTACGACACACTGGCAAGTGAAGCAGAACAGGCTGCAGGTAAGAGAGACCTGACGACATTGTATCAAATAACCAGGTTGCTATCAGGGAAGAGACCAACACAGATGAAACCAATAAAAGATGAAGAAGGAAATTTAATTACAAAAGAAGAGAAACAGAGGAAACGATGGGCCGACCACTTCAAGAAGCTCTTGAATCGACCACCACCTGCACTTCGTCCAGAAATACCACCTGCAGCCGCTGAATTACAAGTGAACATAAATCCCCCAACGAAAATGGAAGTCCTGAACGCCATAAAGCTACTGAAAGGTGGGAAAGCAGCAGGACCAGATGGAATACCGCCAGAAGCACTGAGAACAGATGCAGAGACAACAGCGGACATGCTCACACCACTATTGCAGAAGGTGTGGAAGGAAGAGAAGGTACCTGACGATTGGAAGAAGGGTTACCTTGTCAAACTGCCGAAGAAGGGAGACCTCAGTGCTTGCAAGAACTGGCGCGGAATCACTCTCCTGTCCACCCCAAGTAAAATATTAAGCCGCATCATCCTGGAGAGGCTTAAAGACGCACTGGATTCAAAACTGCGACCGGAACAGGCAGGCTTCAGGAAGTACAAATCATGTGCTGACCAAATTGCAACGCTTCGTATCATCATAGAACAGAGCGTAGAATGGCAATCAGCTCTATACCTCAACTTCATCGACTTTGAGAAGGCCTTTGACAGCGTCGACCGAGAAGTAATTTGGAAACTGCTTCAATACTACGGAGTACCGCAAACCTTTATCCGCCTCATTCAACAACTATATGAAGATGCCACATGCCAAGTAATCCACAATGGGAAGCTCAGTGATGCCTTTGAAGTGAAGACAGGAGTGAAACAAGGTTGCCTACTATCCCCCATGATATTCCTTATTGTGGTGGACTGGATCATGCAGCAAACAGTAGGCAGCGAGAAGAGGGGGATACACTGGACGACGGAAAAGAACCTAGAAGACTTGGATTTCGCCGATGACTTGTGCCTAATGTCACATAAACTTGAAGATCTGCAGGCAAAAACTAACAAGTTGACAGAAGAGGCAGCTAAGACGGGACTTCAGGTGAATATAGAGAAGACAGAAGTGATGAAGATACCGCACCACCACCATCAACAACAACAACAAACTCCAATCACCGTCAACGGGAGAAACTTGAAGGAAGTAACCTCCTTCACTTATCTAGGAAGCACTGTTTCAACTACAGGCGGGACGGACGAGGACGTCAAAGTCAGAATCGGAAAAGCAAGACAGGCGTTCATTAGCCTGAAACCAGTGTGGAGATCTTCTGCACTCAGCATGCGGAACAAGATACGGATTTTCAACACCAACGTCAAGTCAGTGCTCTTGTATGGCTCAGAGACTTGGCGCGCCACGAAAGGTATTTCCAATAAACTACAGACATTCATCAACAACTGCTTACGCTCGTTGCTGAAGATCAGATGGCCAGAAAAAATAAGCAACAAGGAACTCTGGGAACGAAGCAACCAAGAACCTATCACGCAACAAATATGCAGGAAGAAGTGGAGATGGATTGGGCATGCACTGAGAAGGCCGACTGAGGACATCACGCGTCAGGCCCTCGAGTGGAATCCCTATGGGAAGCGACGAGTTGGACGTCCGAGGGTGACATGGAGGAGGTCATGCGAGGAGGAAATGAGAGCTTCTGGGCTGTCGTGGAACCAGGTTCAAAAGATCTCAGAGAACAGAGGTCACTGGAGGCGTGCTACTGAAGCCCTATGTTCCACTCGGAACCCAAGGGACTAATAATAATAATAATAATAAATCATTTTTCTTGGAGTTATGTTATATGTGATTATATACTTGTTTCAGTTGAAACACCACTTACTACGTTTATGATTCAGGTACCTCACTACACAATGCGTCTTTTCTCTATTTAATGAGAACAACCTTTTTTCTTCGAATAATCATGCTTGTCTGGTGAAGAAACAGTCCATGGAGAGTCGATTCTTAAGTCACATCCTCTATATCAAATCCTGTACCGAATGCATGACGTTTTCATTTCTGACAATAACATATCCGGTCTCTGAGCTGATTGATATTGTAATATACCGCTAAATAAGATAATTATTATTGGGACTATCATCTTTTAACGATTCCGAGTAGACAATTAATGTTATCTTGTACCTGAAGTCTTCAATGAAAGTACATCTTGAAGGCATATTGAGTAAGATAAACTGATAAATTACATTAAGTCAGCGCACAGCAATTTATTTGATTCTTCTGCAATAAATAACGTTGAGTTTTAACAATTGGGTCACAAATTCGATCCCCGCTCCACCTACCGAGGTTTGGACACCCAGGTAGTATCACTAGCCCTCGCATAACAGGTGTGGCTCACTACCTGCCACACGAATGTGCATGTGTTTGCTCAGTATATTTCAATTTGCAATAAGTAACCGTCTAGCTGATATTGAAAGATCCTCCGTCGACTACTTAAAACTTTATCATGCAAACATCGTGGTATTGCTGAGTGTGGTGGGTCTGGCCATCTTTTCTAAATACTCTCGAACATCGATGCGTTGATAGCTTTTGCTAGATGAATTTAACTCATTGCCCTGATTTGGTAAGAGTACATAGGAGAGAGCGTGGAGCCTAATATCCGGATTTCATCACCGGACTGATGGATACGGAGGGTTCACGTAGGAGAATTGGTAAATCTAAACAACTAATGGACATGGACTCAACGGTCCAGAATGGATGAATGATATATAAATCCATCCTGGTTACCAGCATCCCTAAAAGTGCAGCTGCTTATGTTATTTTGCTGCCTTGGGGATCAGATCCCAAGTCAAAAGCATGCCGTCTCCTAAGACAACCATCTTTCTTCTGACTGGGTAACCTGGCAGTATCACAACTAACATACTAACCATAGAATAACGTCTGCAAAGAAGACTTCGAAGCGTTCTATGAATCTCCTTATTAGAAACTAGATTCGCCGTGTAGTGAAATTTCTACTCTGAGCTCAAAGAACACTGGGTCACCATCATCCTCACCCTAAGCTACAAATCTCCAGTATTTTTTTCGATTTTGCTTCCCAAGTTTGTCTTTATTTGTGTGTCTGTTCTACTTATCTGCTTGTTATTTATTAAAATTCTGGTCAGTCTGTGCCTTTTTGAGTCGCTTATCAGTTGTTTCTACGGCGTTGTCTTCCAGTGTGATATTTGAGTCATGTACTCTAAAACCATGCTTACCGTTTCAGCATTCAATATTTGGATCGTTTTACAGATCGGACAACAGACAGGTTTGTATCAGACTCTGACATATACTGTACTTCAAAAACTCATATACGAGATTTTAGAGAATTGCTTCTAATAATTTCTCATGTTAACTCTTGAATTATGTTTACCTTGCTCTTATCTGGAATACCTGTGAAGTCATCATCCGACCTTGATCGTATCACAATAATCGCTAGAACCAAGACTGCATTCGACACCTAGCTTCCCACTAACAATCGCTTTTATGCTGTTGCGCTAGAAAGTTCAACTAGAACAGAAGTAACTGGCAAAGGAAAAGATCCCTATGTTTCGACTAAATGCAGTTAAGTTCTTGCCATCAGCTGAATGACTTCCTCTTCTAAACACATTCAGCAGATATCAGACTGTCAGCTGGGGACTTGAATAGAGAAACTTGACATCTAGACTCAGAGGAGACTCGTTTAAGTGACCAAAGATGATTAGTTGACTGCAGATCAGACAATGAGGATCGTTTTCTGCAACTCCGTGCTAATCGCAACCTATATCTAGCCAATGAGAAATTTCATGAATTCCAACGCTTTTATTCTAACTGACATTTCTGTACCATTCAAATCTGAAATCCACTGAATCACATGGTAATTAATTGCTGTCCACGTGAGTGTATTCTCAACTGATGCTTGTTCCAGGGTCCCTCCTAGGATTTTGATCAAGATTTGGTGTTCTCATTTTATCTTGCGTTTCGATGACCATCAAAATCGTCGTTCTAAACACGTCAACGTATGCAAATTGGTCACTTCCAGTAATGCAGGTAAATATCACACATAACTAGGTTCAAGATTGGCTGTCATATTTCCCAAAGTTGTAAATAAACAGTAGTCGCACCTAAAAGATGTCATAAAAAAGAAAGTAAAGCTGCATGTAACTTTCAAGGATGTCCAAATAATAAATACTGAGTTTCAGTAAGTTTTCTGTTTTCGTCACGCTGATCGGTCTGTTCCGACGGACACTGAGTACAATATTGTGCACAAGTCGCTTAGGTGCAGATCATGCAGCATCGACATAGGGAACGTGAAGTCTGGTAATCGAAATGTACAAGTGAGGTGGGAGCAGCAGCTCCATATGGAACTAGTCAGAGCTGTTCCAGCTCCGTTACTTCTTCAGCAGCAGTTGCTCAATAATCCAGCTACATGAACATTTCGATTGATTTAATCAGTTGATCACTAGCGGTATCCAGAAGCTTAATATCAGTGAGATAGTCTGCAAAGTAGTTGGTATGTTGATCAACATCGATATCTAGTCGCTGAGTGAAATACTTCGTGAATCAATTTATCTAGTCTACCACTCCAACAACATCACTATTAGTGTCTTCTGCCATATGATTAGATTACACTGACCCATCTAAAGAAAGGAAAATTCAGAATAAACTCTAATTATTAAGACTCCTGAGAATGGAGATGGAACTGTAGTCAGAAAACTGACTAAATTGTTTGAGAATTTATGGCAGGTTAAGTGTTTCATCACTTTGGAGCTAGACGATTATCGTACTCATCTTTGATAAGGATTTGCTTAACATATTTGATTATCACCGGGGTATCAGCCTGATACTAGTAGTGTCTAAAATATTTACTGCCTCTATTCTTCACATGCTCTGCAAAATGCATAGAAAGCTGATCCTCGGTCATCCATACTTCTATCACGTATTCACCCCCTATCAGATGCTTAAACAACATCACAAGTATTGCAAATCGGCGATCTTTGTGTTTTTCTATATTAAGGTTGCCTCAAGTTTCCTGGTTAAGATTATGTTCTATCATTGTCTATTAGAGAGAGGCGATTTCGAGAAGTTTGTTAGCATTCTGAAAGAACTATTTAAGACATGGTGAAATGAGGACATAAGGTCACATCTATACTTTGTTCCAAACTAACAACAGGGTTAGGCAGGGCTGTCCAAATTTGCCTGGGTAAATATCTGAGTGCTGGTAAATGTGTGACTGATGAGGTTTTTAACTGTTGATTGAGAGCCAAAGTAGCTCACCCGCCTGGGTCATCTGTCTTGACATCATGACATTATCTTGTCTGTGAGATGCTGTGTATACAACGTGTCGTTGTGAACAGTTCTGCTGTATAACTGTGAAAACTGGTCTCGTAGCTGGGGATTTCCCACGGTCCTGTGTTCGATCGCTGTTGTTTCCGCAAGATGTCACGTCTGCTTGGACATGATGGATATCCTCAATCATTGAAAGAAATCATCTTAGAGCACCACCGTCGGTGGCCCGGACGTGTGCTGCGAATGCTGTCCCAGCGGCTCTTACACCTTACTTTTTGTCTACGCCGGTACTGATTGGAAAACGTGGAATGGTCAATGTATGACATGGTGCCGTGAAATGGAGGATAAATGTGTTAGAGAGTAGCATCTTTTAGTGCCTCATGACTCCCTGGATGAAGTCCTACAGATCACGCAACTCAGTGGCGTAAAACGATAATAGACATGGTTTAGAATCAGAGTCAGTGGCAATCATACTACGGATATGCTGTTTCTCCTACTGTCGCGAAGTAAAAACACAGGTAGTGATTTCTTAGAATGAATGATTGAGACTGCTTTTTAGTGACTCGCCCTCGTTTTTTCATCCGCAATATTTCACTTTATGTCTTCTTTACGTCACTATGTTTTTGTGGGCTATTTCTTGGTAGAAGCGGTATATGAATTTTGTTTTGAATAAATGCACCAAAATTATGTAGTAAACGAAATCAGTGTGGTTTCACTAACTTATCTACCATCTATGCATAATTTTTGCTTATCATACTATTAATTATGCAAGCTACTGAATCCTTTCAACAAAAGTGAAACAGTCAGTTTTTGTCATACCAGCAGTGATTTATATTTACTAACCGTTTATCGCTTGTATGAGAATTCCTTAAATTCATAAATATGTCTCCTCTAAAACCACAAACTAATGATACCATGAAATTGGTAGTGTCTTGTTTAACGCCGTACTTTTCTGTTTCACCTTGTCACGAAGGTTTTTAATTTTTTCCGGTGTTTAAGTGAAACTAATATGAATTTTTGTGATTAGGTGTGACTTAGTTATTAGATTCTCATCAGAAATTTCACGTGCAGCAATTTGAAAATATCATTTCTTGAAACTTATCAGAAAAGTTATGAAAATATCTGTTTATAGTTTGCACGTACTGAATAACTACAACATTGAAATAAGTGTGAATGTGCTTATCTCGCATAAGACGTTGATATTGGTGCCTGACATAAATTGGACACAGTGAGCCTCATTTTAAGGCATTGCTTTGGTTACTAAATCCTATAAACTTTATACATATATATACAACTTTCTAGGTAACATCTATGCCACTCAGTGGTCCTGAATCATATCACCTATGGCTCAGAACCTCAACCAGCAACGATCATGTTGCAACTTTCTTGTACCTTCTACTCGTAAATGTTATATGCACGTAGTGAGTGTTTCGAATGTATCGCTCAGTTAGATTCATCAATGTAGAGCCTTGCACAGAAATACATCAATTCTAGCTTTCACTTTTATAGCAGTATACAAACAAATAATAGATAGAAAAAATTATGGTAAAGTGGATTAACTTTTATGAGAAAGAAAAGAGGATAAATAAGTGAAATTTAGTGGAAATATTCAAATTTTTTCTGAATAAAGATATCTAAGCCATATCACCAAAATTCTCTAGTCGTTGCTTTCTAACATTTTGAACACCTCAAGCAATTGGCCTGCATTCCTCTATATAACTCAAACCAACAGTTAAAGATCTCATGTATTAGTACTACACCTTGGTCCGACAAACTTTAACTTTCTTCAAACCTAATTATGTTCTAACTAAATTTACTCCAGCCATCTCGGAAGGTGCAAGATTTCACCCTTATCAACTTATTCACCTGCCTCGTCTAGTACTTTGCACTCAATATATATATATATATATATATATATATATATATATATATATATAACCTCTTTCTTTACCATGGTTATTGTAGATTATCGATCACTCTAAATAACCCACATATGACGCTCTTTTTCATTTTACAGCCATTTTCTTTATTTCCCCGTTACTTAACCTTCCTTTGTAATGCATTTTATTTTGACCTATGACCAGAAATTACTCTAGAATGTTCTATCCTTCTAACTATACATTCACGAATGTACAACTAAGAGAATGAACTCGTCATAAAGCAGTACTTTACTTCGCTGCAATCATTTTTTTCCTATGTGCAAATGGGATTGTTCTGATATATATATATATATATATATATATATATATATATATATATATATATATATATATATATATCTGTGGTAAATTTCTTAATGCCCTAATTGTAGCGAGTTTGTATTCCAAATGAAGTTAATAAGTTAGTACGACAGTGCGCATGAGCCCCTCTCATTTTGGTCAAGCTTGTAGTTCTCTTAGTAACTCTCTAAATACTTTTAATGCCTTTTTAGATTATATCAGCGAATGAAGAAAGAAAAGTCCAGGCCGATGTTGATGTGGTACGGGATGAATTGTCTGGTATAAAACAGAAGATAGAAACAACGAAACGTAGTTTGGTACGTTAACGTATTTTGTGTTCTTCGTTTTACTAATCCCTTACATTCTACTCTTAAACCAGTGGGGGATGATTTTATTTCTTATAATCTTGCTTTGTTTATTTTATTCCATGGATGTCATTGTTTATTTCTCTACACCGTCACCACATTTCAAAATCAACTTATATTCAAATCTTTTCATCGTTTGCACATTCTTGCATAAACTTTCCTAATACTTGGTCAGCGTACGTAATAGCAAATCACCAAAGATGTTCAAAACGCTTTTGTGCAATAGCTTTCCCTGGCATACACAGCGAAATGCAATAGAAGTGTAAACCTAATCACATTTTGTTGTTGAAATATGACCTTATCATAAACCTTATCCTTATAAACTAGTAAATAACTGCAAATACTTGCGGCTCGAGTAGTAGATGTTAATATAGAAGTACAGTCTGTTTTGCCAGTGAATAGTGATCTTGATATGTCTATCGACAATAAATTATGTCCGAAACGTAATCCAGTAAACAATACTGTTACACTGTGTGATAAATTTAATAAATCAACAAAAATGGAATTACATTCTACCACAGTGCACAAGTTTTACGCTTATATTAGTGAATAGTGTATCATTTAAAAATCTGCAACATGCAACCTGGAAAAATACTTCTGTCTAGAAACTACTAACATTATGGCCACGTTTCTGTTCGTATGAATCTTGTTGAAACTAACATGCCGTTATCAGACTCTCACTTTGATCAATGATAGTTCCCGGCTGCTCAGACCTCGGTAGTTGAAGTGGGGTTCGAACCAGCGACCTACTGGTTGAATACCCACTGCCTTAACCGATGAGCCACATCTCCACCTGGAACTAAAGTAAGCGTCTTATTATTAATCTTCTTTAACATTATTTAATTACACCGTGGGTACGAAAAATGTTACATATAATGTGAAAATTTGAAGATATGAATTCAGAAATATAGGCATAGAATAACAGAATAATCATGAGAGGTAAAAAAACACACAAGCTACTTTCAAGAAACTTTCATTGCTTTTGTAGTGCTTCTCAGTGGTAAGAAGACTCAGCAGAAATAACCCATAATTTCTGGTGGTTTTGAGTTTGAAACATATATGCTATTGTATCGAGCCTTCGAGGTATATGATCTTTTGAATACCACTGCAAAAGTTGTAATTCACAAGCATTTCTAAACCCAACACAACTAGCCTTCAACCTATGTCATAAATTAGTCACCCATCCATTTCTTCTAAATATTTCCAAGGTTTGAAAACCATGACGTGTAAAGAAGCTGGTGGGAAAGCACATGTGAAATCTGTCTAGGAACCGAAGTCAGCATTTACAGCTATATTCACTTACGTACTGACCATATCCACTATACATATAGTGATATGCCATTATATCCCAGAGTTGCTTACATAGTGTTTCCGCCTAGTATGTGCAACTCTAGAGGGTGAACAATGTTGGTGTGTTTTATAGGAAATTTAGGACGTTAAGCAACTCAGAAGTATTCGTCTTCAATAGGCAGTTCGAATTCACAGTCTAATGAATTGAAGACAACGCTCATGTCAAGACAAATGTATTTAACCCATATTATGTATGACAATGTTGAAGCATTGAGCAAAGTATTAACAGGTTGTCAATGTATATGCATAACTGAACTGCATCTCAATAATCAAAATTATCATAGCCTTTTTTTAACTGTGAAAACTACTCAGCATTCAACAATAGTCATAGCTTGCAAATGAAAGCCACAAATAACAAAGTTCTAAAGAATCACGAAAAGTATCTACATGTTCACTTTAAATAGATATTTGATGCCTTCAAAAACAAAAACCGAAAAATGATTGTTTTCCATCATGATTTGCTAACTAACTCACCAGTTAACAAAACATACTTTATAATCTTGCTATGAAACATTCGGTTTTTCGATGTACATTTCTTTAGTGGTTTTAGCTGCATAAAGTCTATTTCTTTCTCGACATTCTTCGATATTTACGGATGGATAATAAGGATCTATTTAAAGATAAGAATGCCTACGCTTTATTTTGACATGAAATATGTGTACCTGTATAGCATTTTTTGAGATTGTGAGAAAATACGTCACTTTTTTTGGATTAGTGTCTAATGCTACTGCTAGGTAGTTGGTATTTCTGGATAGAATTGTGCGACCGTTTTTACTCAAGACTTATCTGCATCTTAAATATGTGTTCTTTAGAAGCAGTGGTGTAGTTCACTTCTCTATCTCCGAAAATAATCTCTACTATGTTGTTTTAGTTTTCGTACCTAAGACACTGGAGACTTAAGTACTTGTATATTACCATGTTAAAGTAAGCATAATACACACCTATAATATATCGAAAGGATTAGACTTTTGTATGACGTTGAGTGAACATAATTATTAAAAACAATCTGAAAGAAGAATGTTCTTTTCACTAGGTGAAATGTTGCATTTGGGTAACGCATAAGTACCATTAGAAATGCTGCAGTCTTTAGTTCTTTCTGTTTCATTTATCGCCTTTATTTACTGTGTCTTTAACTTAACTCGTAGGAAATTGAACTTTTATGTTAATGAATACATTTTAGTCATGATAAATCGACTGTTTTGAAATATCTCCTTTATCCGACTTTGGAAGCAACTTTCTGTCTTTTGTTATGTAGTTCGATAGTGTCTCATTTTCGCATTAAAATATAAATACATCAATTTTATTAAAAATCCATTTATATTTTTTCGCTTCAAACTTATGTTGGTTAGTTGGTGCGAGCCACTCGCAAATATTGTTTTCCAGAAACATATTATCATAAGAGTTATCGTCAAAGACTACTCCTGTCTAGACTGTTGTCCTGTCACTCGGAGTTGTTCAGTACTGTCTAATGTACACCATTTCTGATACCTGACTATTGTTATCTTATCGTTGTCTCACTTAGTTGAAATCCAGACATCAGCATTTTGCAGATTCGTTGTTATATTTCTCTGAACTATGAATGTGTACAATCTCCTCACTACATAATAAACATTTCATCTAATTCCTGCTAACTTTTGTGAAAAAAATTCTTTTATACAACCAAGTAATATATTTTAGTGGCATCATTTTCTTCATTAGAATCAAAATGACCATCAAGTGGCTACTGTTAAGAAGCGCTTGGAAAATGAACACACGTTGAATAAACGCATTGAACAAATCAAAAATGAATACCAAAAGGCTGTAAGTTGGTAACTAGTAATGTTATATATATATATATAATAATTATATATGATTTATCCCTAGGGTTCCTAGTGGAACATAGGGCTTCAGTAGCATGTCTCCATTCCACTCTGTTCTCTGCAATCTTTTGAACCTGGCTCCACGACTGCTCACAAACTCTCATTTCTTCCTCACACAATCTCCTCCATATCACTCTTGGATGCCCAACTCATCGTTTCCCATCTGGGTTCCACTCGAGTGCCTGGCGCGTGATGTCTCCGAATGGTCTTCTCAGTGCATGCCCAGTCCATCTCCACTTCCTTCTGCATATTTGTTGAGTGATAGGTTCTTGGTTGATTCGTTGCCCGGCCAGAGTTCCTTGTTGCTTATTCTTATTATTCTGGCCATCTGAGCTTCACTAACGAGCCAGCGTAGACAGTGGTTGATGAATGTTTGTAGTTTGTTGGAAATACTTTTCGTAACGCGCCAAGTCTCTGAACTATCACATAGAAGCACTGACTTACTTGACTGAATTAGTGTTGAAAATCCGGATCTTGTTACACATGCTGAGTGCAGATCTCCACACTGTTTTAGGGTTAATGAACGCCTGTCTTGCTTTTCCGATCCTGCCTTCGGCATCCTCGTCTGTGCCATCTGTAATTGAAACGATGCTGCTTAGGTAGGTGAAAGAAACTACTTCCTGTAGGTTTCTCCCATTGATAGTGATTGGAGCTTGTTGTTGTTGGTGGTGGCATTGGTTGGGTATCTTCATCACCTCCATCTTCTCTACGTTCGCTTGAAGTCCCGTCTTTGCCGCCTCGTCTCTTCTGTCAACTTGTTAGTTTTTGCCTGTAGATCTTCGAGTTTGAGCGACAAGACACTAGACAGAAATCATTATCGTTGGCGAAACCCAAATCTTCTAGGCTCTTTTCATCGGTCAAACAGCGTATGCCCATCTACTTGCTCTTCACGGTTCGCTGCATGATCCAGTCAACCACAATCAGGAAGATCATCGGTGATAGTAGGCAGCCTTGTCCTACTCCTGTCTACACTTCAAAGGCATCACTGAGCTTTCCATTGTGGATCACTTGACATGTAGCGTCTTCATATAGCTGTTGAATGAGGTTGATAAAGATTTGTGGCACTCCGTAGTGTTGAAGCATCTGCCTGCTAAATTAAATCTTGATCGACGCTGTCGAAGTCCTTTTCAAAGTCCATGAAGTTGAGGTAGAGAGTTGACTGCCGTTCCATGCTCTGTTCTTGATGATACGAAGCGTTGCGATTTGATTCGCATATGATTTGTACTTCCTGAAGCCAGCCAGCCAGCTATTCTGTTCCACTCGCTTGTTGATCTGATCTTGTGTCCAGTTGGCTGGCTGCGTCTCCACTTTCTTGAGACTGAGATGAAGTCGATCTGATTTCTAATGTGTCCTGTTGTCTGTTGAAATCCATGTCGTTTTGTGAATATCCTTGCGTTTGTACACACTACCTCCAATCACCAAATCGTTAATTGTGCAGAAGTCTGCAAACAGCTCTCCATTCTCTTTCATTTCACCGAGTGCTTCTCGACCAATGGTTGGTTCTCTTCCTGTGTTGTTTGCTCCCAGTTTGGCATTCATGTCACCCCACCCACTAGAATTTTGATGTCACCATCTGGGGTATGGTCTTGTCCAGTACTGATCTCAGTTGTCTATAGAATTCCTCCTTCTTCTCTTGGTCTGGATTATTTGTAGGCGCGTAGCATTGGCATTGTGCGATTGTGACTTTCCTTCCTTTTGAGTTGAATCTCGCTTTCATGACCCTGGAAGAGATTGGCTCCCACTACACGAGAGCCTTCGATGTTGTTGAAGACATCATGATAGCCACTCCGAAACTCAGTGTGCTCGTGATTGTCATCTGGGTGACAATATGGGAGTAGATTATTGACTCTCCAGTTGACAGTTTGGAGAGTTGACTTCCATTCCATTTGCTCTTGCAGATTCCTAGCCTAGCACTTCAATGCTATGCCTTCTCATTTCTTTTGCAATCTGGGCAGCCTTGCCAGCCGGCTTCAAACATCATGCGGACATTCCATGTCCCTATGTTTACTTTGGCTTTCATCGAGAGGGGGAGAGAGAGAAGACACATCGGTCAATTGGCTTTCTGAAGGCTTTCACCAAACGGCGTCATTTCATTTCCTCGATTCTAGTGAGGAATAAGTTTATTTATATTTTTATCTTTTGTTTATGCTTTGAAGTTTCTTTAGCGATTGGATTGGTTTTAGGGTAGGGTTGCTAACCCTATGCCCAACCTCTCTTTATGCAGGCTTAGGACCGGCTAGTAACTGGTGAACTAGGCAACCAGACGAGGTTGTTATATGTTTCACGGACTTAAATCAGCTGCAGAACCATTAAAAATCTGGGATTACTGGACACCTGTTTTGTTCAAGTATGAAACCCTTCAGCATTACGTATGCACAAACCGGCTAGGGATCAAATTCAAGACCTTCAGGTTTCGCGGCGAACGCGTTATCCATCCAGCCACTGAATCGAAATTCAATGGTCACCAGTTTCCTACTTCTCTCAATTCGCGATATCGAGTGACTACCATCCAAGTCCGTGATGTATGTGACCTTATTTTAAAATCTTCATTAACCTCTCTCTCTCTCTGTCTCTGTAAATGAGAGTTTCTGAATGAAATCATACTCTTTCAGTAGTTTATGTATAGTAGTTTACTTTATTTTTTTTCATCAATTTTCAGTAACAACCTCATACATTTCGGTTAACTATAAATTTCAGTAAAACAAGAACAATAACTTGTGCGGAATATAGTACATTCATTTTATTCGGTTCCCTTCTCTATAGCTGAATATAGAGTAACTAACTAGCTTTCACTGTATTGTTTTAAGGTAATTAATTTTTTGAACTTTTTGATCAACCTCGTCGGAAATATCATATCATGTACTCAGTACCTCCAGAAAATATTTTCATTTGATATACCAGAATAGCTCTTGTATCTCCAATTATATTTATTAACCCATTGAACAGAAATTTAATATTAGTTTATTGTTTGAGGTCCACGTTTATCCTGTGATTATAGAAACAACTGAAATTATCAAAAATATGCAATAAAATAACTGAAGAAGAATAAACAAAGTCTAATTAATAAGATATCTTATTAAAAAATCACAAAGGATCAGCATAAATACCCAAATAAATAATATGATTATTTAGATAACAGACACGTCAGGTTATCACTAATAATCGAAGCGGTTCTAATGTCGAACTGTGGATTCTCTCACTTGTTTTGGAACGACTTCATTCGGTGTGGATTCGAAGGGATTCATTTCAAAACGCTAATGGCTTTAAATCACCTCTGTGTGAACAACTGACGTGAACCAACTACTGTTATCAGAAATTAGAAAAACACTTTTATAATGTGGTATTCGAAAATTACTTGACCAAAGAAAAAATGAGGTTAATTTATTAAACTTTTTTTCACAAATCCTATTACTGGTTTTTACGCTTCAGGCAACGGCATTTCACGGCCTATATTTCTTTCATATGTTTCAAGTCGACATACATTCACGACACTATTTTCTGCTATCTCTTTGTATGACTTTTTTTCCTAAGCTTTTTGTATTTCACTAGGATGGACAAACGGAAACTTTGATTTTCCTATCTGTTGTACACATATATGTTCTAACAATATTAACTGCTGAAGCACACATTCATAAAGTTATAATCTTTTGTCGCCCTTTTTTCATATCCGCTACACTCCCCATGTGATAGAGATGTTAAACCGACTTATAAGTCTAACTCACTGCACTGAACTTGAAATGTTGATGTTAGGTGTATTTTACTGAGTTCCATTTAAATTTGTTCTTTGCACTTAACATCTCGATATTGTTTTTAGTAGACTCATTAGGTATACCATACAATGAAACAGTGTTATCTACTGGACTACACTACAGATACAATTTATCGCTCATAATCCTATCCCGAGTTATCGTGGTATGGTATCCAGTAGATAGTACTGTTTCACTGTGTTACATCTGATAAGTCAACTAAAATGAAATCAAATTCTGTTACGGTGTCCAAGTTTTACTCTTATTTAACCTCAGTATTCTCTTAAATTCTTATTTTGTAGGAAATCGCTGTAAAGGATCTAGATATTGATGATGAGCTGAATAGTTTGCGTCAGTCAATATCACAGTCGTTATCAGAGAAAAAGAAACTAGAAAGCTCCATCAGTTCACTAGAGTAAGGGTACCTTTGTATATGACCATGTGTTTTCAGAAATTACTGTATGAAATAAAACGAAGAATAAGTATTACTATATCCAGTTCCATTTTGGACTAAGCAATGAATAATGCGATACCACTGGGACTGAGTCAGTCAACAACACGATAGAATCTGACCACGCTGTACAACAACTCAAGTTCCCATACTTTACATCAGTACATCGAAATATATATATATATATATATATATATATATATATACATAAGATGAAAAGTGGAGGAATGCGAGGAAAATGTGATTAAAATTCGTAGAGTATCATCAAAAGATAAGGGAAGAAGGGGCGTAAAGCAAATAACCAAATGTAATATGACAATTAGTGCGAAGGTAGTATGTAGATGTATCTGCATCACTGATATCGATTCTAAACCATATCACTTGGAGTTTCCAACCACTGACTTCGCTTTTCACGTGGGCCACAACCGGAACGTCTAGATTTATCAAACAAAACTATTTTACCCGTTTATTACAAGTGTACTAAGCAGTCTCCTGAGAAAATGTCAATCTCGTTTAGTTTAGATAAGGGGACATACTTCCATAAACACGTATGTGACAAAGTCAAATAAGGATGTAGAGAGTGGACATCCTTGACGGAGGCCACTAAACGTAAACAAATCATAAGCTTTAACACACTCGTGCTCATTAACCTAAAACCAGTGTGGAGATCTGCACTCAGCATGTGTAACAAGATCCGGATTTTCAACACTAATTCAGTCAAGTAAGTCAGTGCTTCTATGTGATAGTTCAGAGACTTGGCGCGTTACGAAAAGTATTTCCAACAAACTACAGATATTCATCAACCACTGTCTACGCTGGCTCGTTAGTGAAGCTCAGATGGCCAGAATAATAAGAATAAGCAACAAGGAACTCTGGCCGGGCAACGAATCAACCAAGAACCTATCACTCAACAATATGCAGAAGGAAGTGGAGATGGACTGGGCATGCACTGAGAAGACCATTCGGAGACATCACGCGCCAGGCACTCGAGTGGAACCCAGATGGGAAACGATGAGTTGGGCATCCAAGAGTGATATGGAGGAGATTGTGTGAGGAAGAAATGAGAGTTTGTGAGCAGTCGTGGAGCCAGGTTCAAAAGATTGCAGAGAACAGAGTGGAATGGAGACATGCTACTGAAGCCTTATGTTCCACTAGGAACCCTAGGGATAAATAATAATGATAATAATAATGCCTGTATTCCAAGAACTCGTGGATTAGGGATGGACATCTGGTGCACTCACCTACAATTGGGTTTTAAACCTCGGGTTTGCTGTTCTTGAGCTTTTTTAGACTTTTATTGATTACAGAATGCGGAATATTGGGCACCATGTTTGTCAAATTATTCTCCTATCGTTGTCACAGAAGGATTTCTCTCCTTTGTTAGAGTGTGGAACAATCGTTGATTTTAACCTAGGAAGTCATATTATTCTCATACACCAGCTGATACCTCAGTTTATTTAGCCAAACGTTCATGATCATCGTCCTCAAATACGTATGGTGTGAATCCGTTGGAGTTCTTCCTCGTTGTAGATTGCTTTCAATTTTATCAACTTTAGCAAAAGCTGAGACCTTATTTTAATATTCCACTTAGGATGTGAGTAATTGTTAGACAACTAGCAGATAGCTGAAGGTCAACCGGCGGCTTTTCTCTTAAGAGTATGACGTCTATTTATTCTATGATAGATGGAGGTGAATGGTACGATAGTAGTCATTGTGCCAACTTCGGAGATTCTGTGACTGTTGATCTTAATCCTGTAGTAAGGTTATCCAAGTAGACTCGCCGAGATATATTGCTCATAAACTTGCTGTTTTTCGACGATTAGTGAATTGTCAGTATACTACTATTGTTACTCCGAGTGTATCAAAGGTAACTATCACTGTGATACTAGTATTCTAATAATTTTTCCATTGCGAAAATGTCTGTTATCCTTCGCGTGATTTACTGCATCATTTTGTTAAAATATTAGACAATCAGCTGTTTATCTGCGCATTCAGTAGTAGTGTTTGAGTTATTTTTCTAAAGCATTACGTTTTATACACATCGTTCGGCCCCTTGACTGCCTTCAACTTATGATGAAAAACTGTGTCATACTTACTATCAATCTACAAACTCTAAAGGGAAATTGCCTTTTTCTTCATCTCATCATGCACTCCATTCATCAGTTCAGCATACTTTTTGCAGTTATTAACTTGCATCACCTTGATTCATACGTTTCCTCCACAAAGTGTCAGTTTACTTTTTTGTGTAGTCAAACTGTCTGGAAACACTATTTCTTACTTCGAAGTACTTTAAATTCAAATAGCGCTGTTTTTACTTCTTAGTTCTTTCAAATGTTTGTCATTTGAATCTTTATACATCTCAGTGATAAATTTTTCTTTTTCTGTTGCAGTGATAAAATTGCAACACTTCAAAAGAATGCGAGCAAATATCGTGAACTAGAATCAATGCAGAAAGAACGGACAACGAAACTTGAAGGTGTCCGTAAAATGTAAGTTATAACACTTGACATAGGTCAAGAACCTACTGTTTTGTTAATCGATCCCATGCATATCAGACGATTATCTTTTCTTCTTTTTTAGACGAAGTCGTCATGCTGAAGCACTGGAACAGGTATTTGCTTGTGGCGTGATTCCTTCTATAGCGACAGAAAAGTCACTTGAAGAGCAAGCAAGTCATAACAACGTTCGATCATTTCTCAATGACCAGTCACGTTTGAGAATTGTGTTTTCTAAACGATTGAATGAATTAGACCAGTCAACTAGAGAGACGCGGAAACAACTGGCCAAACTCGAACAGGAACGTTCATCGCTTGAAGCTAGTTCTAAATTTAATAGGTATAATACATTTTTTACCATAAAGTATGACTCATAAAAAGCTATTCATTCTTTTTCACATTTTCAGTAGTGTGTGTAAACCCATTTTGGTTAGTACTGGATTATAATTTCTTTTAGATGGATTAAAATTCTGTTGCAATAAACCATCACTTTAAATTTAGATTTTCGTTTTATGCTATAGAACTCATCTGCAAGAAAAACGTGACCAGCTTAAAGTATTGGAAGAAAAAATTTTATCTGTACTTGGTTCCGATAACTTTGAACAGACCTTTGAAAATCTTCAACGGAGACGTGAATTTTTAGAAGAGTGAGTCTTTTTTTCTCAAATTGTTTGCATTGTAGACATGAGTATAAAAATACCACCTGATCTAATGAAATTAATTAAGTGATTGATATATAGCTAACCAGTGAAATATATTTATAAAATCCCAATAAAGTAGAAAAGGTAATATCTGATTTTTCCACGGCCTGATATAAGGTCGACGTTTATTACCCGGTACACTTTCCCCTAATTTATTTAGGGTGGAAAAACGCCTATCAATGGGTAGCTACAGTTAAAGAAGACAAACCAAATATCACTTACAAAATCAGCTGCAATAATTGTGACCAACACCACATTGGACAAATTAGTCGCCCTCTTCACCTTCGTTTCAATGAACGCCAATTGACTATTAAGCGTCACTATATTTCATCGCTCATTTCAATGCATGTGGATAAATATAGACATGAATTCAACTTTGACAATGTAGAAATCGTTCACAGAAGAAACACAAAGAATATAAGAGAATTCCTAGAAGCTTGGCATTCAGGTCAGTCAGCAATCAATAGATGTATAGATATAGACACAGTTTATCAGTAAGTAAGCAAGATAAGTAAGAAAGATAATAAACAACGGAAAGGTTAAATGTCAAGCAAGGGAACAGCTAACAAGAAAATCCATACAGTCAATGACACAACAGTCAAAGGAAACAACCAGTCACAAACCAGTTCATCAGACCAAGCTACTGAATCACTCACGGCGAGATATTGAAGTCAGTGCTGATGATACCGTCTAGAATGACAGTGAAAGCTCCACGATTAAATCGCCCGGCTCCGAGAACACAACACAACTGAGATCATCCACCTGAGCTACAAATATTCTCCATTAGTTTAAATACCAATAATAACTTCTGTGTTCGCAATTCATTTCTACTATAATTTTTTTCAGGGAATGTGCAAATGAACAAGGAAGTATGTTTTTGTGGAGTAAATTTCGTGATCGATTATCGCGTGTGGATTCTGACTGTCCAGTTTGTCATCGATGTCTTGATAGCGATACTGAACGTAATGAGTTACTCAATGAAGTAAGTAATTATTAAAGAGTAAGAATAAAAGGCATCTCTCTGCTGAAAAATTTTCTTCAGAATACATATTCCTACATTTTGTCGTAACCAAATTGGCCCGTTTTAGTGAGGGCAGGACTATCTCTTTAAGGAAACGCTCATGTGTGTTGATTTGATATCTAATTATTTAATTAAATTTAGTTGTAGTACAGTGGTATATCTATTTTGTAAAAAAAAACATGTCCAACGAATGTGGAATTATTATTATTATTATTATTATTACTCATTCAGTTTGGTGTTTATTTATATTTAATAGTCCTACTCTCTGTGTTTTCTTCATGTATGGAAGGTGTCAAAAAGAGCTATTATGTAATCATCTGACTGTGTAAATTATTCTATTTGAATAAATCAAATGCACTGTGAATATGTCAACAGCTGTCTAAAGGAAAATATTCTACAACCACCGCTATCAAATTTTACGATGATGCTTTTAGTGCTCAAAACTCTGGGAATATTCACTGATTTGAATTTGTGTAGTCTTAAGTTAGCTTTGTCTAATGAGGAGTTTGGAAAAGCCAGATCACATGTTTATCTAACTGCTGCAAATCATAGTTAATCTGAATTTGAGAAGGTTATGATAACGAATTAGAAGAAGTTTTGTAAAAAGGAAATGCTTCCTTTGAATTAACTGCTCACTGACATAAATTTTACGTTACAAGTTATCTAGGTTTATTTTAGCAATACAGTACAAGGTGATGGTAACAGTTTGCATGTTAAAGGAAATCGTTAATTTTCAAAAAATTTAAAACAGGTATTAATTAAATATGAAAATAAGAATAGCAATTAGAAAAACAGAATGAGTGTACATAATAAAATCTTAAAGGGATGTTGCCTAATTGATAAGGTGCATAGTACTGATAATCATCTGTAATCGATAATTGTTGATAATTACATGGTGAAATAGTAATTTCATTTTTCGCTTTTCTGTCTGTTTTCTTCATTAATATGATAATTTTTTTCTTATCATGCAGATCGATAGTCGAATTCAATCAATACCCACAGAATCAGAACGTAAAAAACGAGAGCTCAAAGAAATTGTTTCTCGTATGGAATCACTGGTTGAATTACGCCCAATAAGCTTAGAAGTAGGTAAAATTGCAATACTATGCATGTACGTATTATTTCTGCATCCAAAACTGTCTTGTCAAGACGCTTAATGTCTGTTTTCAGCCGATAAACACTGACGTTTCTCCTTTTTTTCAGTATTGCTTAAAAAAATACAAATATTTTTAAATGAGCTGAATATTTTTTTTGACCAAAACAAGAACTCGTAAAAAATGACAAAGCGCAGTCGCCTGAAACTTCTTTGAGCGTAAATCTAGGTATGTTTTGCAGGCATTCTGAACGTAACCAATGATAGATAATGCTACTAAGCTGCTCAGCTCCAAGTTCAAGGATAGGGAGTAGTGTTGGAGTGCGTTGACCACTTCGCTTATATGAGAAGTGCATCAGTCTTAGTAATCTCATTTCGAATACACAAAGCGCATCTGGCATTTAACAACTTACACCTGTTTTGCGCCGACGAGATATCTGCCTACCCATTAAAGGATGTCATACTTTTCAGCATTTCACTCTTTGCTACTGTACGACTGAGACAGTCTTTAAAGATATAAGGAATGAGAAGCTTTATAAAATCCGACCATTTGTCTTCGTATCATCAAAGTGAGACTTGGTATTACCAAGTAACAATCTAATTTGCCACTCCCTTTATCAGCAGGTCAAAGTAAACAGCATCAAGATGACAAATTAAAAAAAGAAAGCAATGAAAAATGTTAGAAATTCGTCAAGAGAGAAAGAGAAAAAAGAGGAGTGATATAATATTGAGTTCCGCATGAGGATTATATGAAGATAATGTGTGGATACATCTGCGCCACTGACATCGATTCTGAACCATGTCACCCAGACCCCAACTGGAAAGTGTTGTGATGTCCCAGTCTTGCATAAAACATTGTTATTGATCTGAACATTTTAACGTGTCATTCCCACATCGTTTTTGCGGTATGGCTAATAGTCTATTTTCTGCCTCCATTGTAATGTAATTCGCTGATTGGTTAACTTTCACTCTTACTATGCGAATTTCTCCAATTGCGGACAAGGTCATTTTCCATGTGTATACTTGTTCACGTGTTTAGGATTGATTCATTGTTATTATATTCTCGGAGTAATACACTCTCCCATCAGCCAGCTTCAGTCTTCTCTCTATTCGTCCCGGGGTTGCAGTCAGTGACTCTTGCGTACCAAGTTAACTGTCAGCTAAGCGTGCGTATTATATTCGTTTCGGAATATATACATATACTATAAGCGCATCGAACCCATAACAGAAAGTTCATCCACACGTATCACATCAGCAGTCGAATACTTCATTGATGCTATGTTTTATTCTGGTCACATTTGACCTTTTTCTAGCCTGAATCAACTTTATTTAACATAGCACAACGAGGTAGATGATGACTAGGCATGCGTACCACATATCTCAGCTACCTCAGTCGGTGAAGGTTCACAACCTCATCGACTGACTCTCCTCTTCTCCGTGAAACCGTACACCTAACTTCTAGGTTACCAACGTGATGACACTATGACGCAGTCTATGCTACAAGAGTAACGAAGTCGGAGCACTTGAAGTTTTCTGATGCATTCTACTTTTAGTGGTCATATTTCACAGCTATACAGTAGGAAAAATTTAAGTCAGGTCATGATTCGTCTGTTGAAAGTCAATTTACTGAAGCAATGAGTTTCATTATCAATGAGGTGTTTTGAGGATACATGCTGCTTAACTTGACAAGTTTACGGTCTAAAAAAACTATGGTATTAAATTACACGACTGTTATTGGCATACAATATTGTTTTCAAATTGCGATAATTTTGAATCTCGTACTTTTAATTGTTTTGATGTCGCTCCCTACTGTCCTGCGAACAATACACTTTCCCGCAGATTTATGTGCTATTTTAAGACAAGGTATTCATCTTCAGAAATGGTACTGCCTCACTCACATTCGTGCTATACCATTCTTTACTAGCTCAAGCTATTTTATTGAATCAGTAAATAGTTGACAAGTTTTTGAAGCGATTTATAATATCACATCAGCAAACGGAACCGTGTACTTTCTTTGTGTTCAAGGATTCGGAAGATCTGTTCGACAGATACACCAGATTAATGAGCTACGGTTTCTATATAACATCGTACTAGAAAAGTGTTATCCACCTAGATTCATGAAAGAAAAGCCACAATTATAAAAGGCACCGATCGTCTCAAAGAAAACTGCGTGAACCTGGAATTTGTAGACGATATTGTAGCTGAAGATTTCAAAAATCACGTTTCAAGATCTCTAAGTAAGAAATTTCACGCAGTTAGCTTGAGAATCTCATTTCCTGGCATATAATTAGTCCATCAACCCACCAAGGATAGAATACTGCTTTTGAGCACCTCGATGTGCATCTATCAGTTTACTTGTCATGAAGCAAATTACATTGGCCATACACAGCGTCAAGTCCGAAAGCATTTCTACAGCGTTTTCCAAAGGAGAGAGGAAAAAATGTCAACAGTTCTTTTCTTGAACACGTTTTCATCTTTGGCCATCTGGGCCCTCCTAGCAGTCCCCTCAAAGTACTTTGCAAACTACCTCCCTAATGTCGCAAAGGCCTTCAAGCGCATCATCTATACATAGTCGAATCATTGATAACCCACAACTGTAAACCTTATCCTTGTATTCCAAAAGGTTACGCGCATTCATTAACCTTACCATGGTTGAAGTGGTAATGTTCTTGTTAAAATCCTTCTATTCTATCCTTGAACATTATTGTAGTCACTTGTCTTTGTTGATTAACGATAGACTGTTATTTGTTTCCAATGATTTTAAATACGATTGTAAAGCTTCAGTAAATGGAATCATCAAAAAGAAAATTCTCTTCACTATTGCGTCTTTGTCTTAGTACATAATACATATTTTGTACTATTTGAATGCATCAAACTTACTGTGACTGCATATCATGTTCAAGTTAATTAGACTCGTCTATAGACTTATTTTCGCCTATATAATGTTTTTGTTCTGTCGAAGTCTGTTTGTTTCCCAATCATGTTCTTCTTGTTTCCATTTTTCGCCCTGTAGATCAAAAACTTAAACGGTCGAGAAATTCCAACTTTGGAATCAAAAGTGAAATCTGAATTAGACAAACTTGCTGCTGTACGCAGTCAAAGGGATGAGGTAATTTACACTTCAATGAGATTACTTCTCACTTAAGATTGTTTTATCAGTTATCATGGGCTTTTTCTTTATAAGTGACTAATCAGCATACTGAATAACTTACTTGGTTTTTGTATTGCAAATTTTTCGAACTGTCTATGCACTTGAGTAATAAAGTTCAATCTTTTAGTAGTTAGAATCGAGTATAATGCATTGGAAAGTAACATGTTTGTCGCTGAGCTCAAATATTCCACATTTTTTTCACAATAAATATTATAGTTGGTTACTGTTGGGAAATTCAAAAACACGTAACAATTTGTAGTAAGCAATCAGTCCCCATATTTAGTGATGATACCGCTGTTGCTTGAGAAATCTCTGACTGATACTCGGAAGTCCTTGAAAAGCAGGTTAAATGCATAGTTTCCTGATAACATATAGGACTCGTCGTAGTGACTGCCCTTATGTTTTCCTTGGTTCGACCAGTCTGTTGCGTAAATTCTCAGTGGTTTCGATAAATTCTGTCACATATTCCGTTTGTAGAAGGTCGTTAACCGTTAAATAGATTGATTCCCACTTCTGTCTGTAAACTAACTGCAAGATCAGGCTTTAAGTTCGATTTTCATTTCATTCAGTTCGACAGGGGCAATGGATATCACTTCAGCTGTCCATATCACTGGCTTCTGTTGCAAATACAACAGATTGTTTAATTGATGGTGATATGTAGTTCCATACCAGATTTGCATATTCTATTTATAACACACAGTGATATAATACTGTATCACTGTGTTTTAAATCAAATAAACAAATTTAATATGGAGTTAAACTCTATCACATTACCCAGGTTTTACACCTATATTGGTGACTTGTAATGCTGATTATCATTAAATTGACTTGAAATTCGAAATTCTCTAACTGGAAACCAATCATTATTGCCCACGGTGAGTTACAAGCTGAAGAGTGGCTTTCTCAGTTTCTTCTTAGAATTCTTCGTTTTTAGAATCAACTGGTCTATCACGCGTTGATTATCAGATTTGTCTGCTGCGACTTAAAGATATAACTGGCTCATTACCGATCATTTGTATTGTCAGTTTTGGTTACCCGATCAATTCTATTTACTGGTAATTTGTGTCTTGATGCAACAAGAGGTCTATTTATAAGTCTTTGGTTTCTCATTGCTAGCTAACTGATATTTGCCTATCGTAAAAAACATTACTTAATCGATCTAATCATTCTGTTTGTTCACTAATTATTACTGTATAGGCAGCTGCTGTTCTTGAAACATGTCAAGCGGATGAATCCCTAGCTAAGACTGTGCAAGGTGATTTAGCTATATTAGAGCGCCTAGAAAATGAGTCGTATGAATTGACGCTTAAAATTAATCGTTTTAGAACCGAGTTCACAGATTTCGAAACAAGTAAGTTTAATTTACTTCAGGTTATACTTCCCTCTCTCTTTACATATATATATATATATATATATATATATATATATATATATATATAAAATCGTCTGTAATAGGCTGTCTTCTTTTTAAAGAAACTGTGCTATTTAAGTCTTCACAAATAATATGTATCATGCAATAAATATGATGTTTTTGTTTCTTAGCTGATTCTCAATCCGTTGATGCTTTACAAGAAGAAAGGAAAACGTTACGTGAAACACTGTAAGAAATTGTTCATAAATTGTCTTCCGCACTTATATTTGTTATGCTCATCTAGTCACTGATGTATTCTTAGAATAGTTTCATAAGTGTAAACACAACTTTCATGTATATTCACACTATAACAAGTTTGCTTGTGACTCTCAATAACATAATAAAAGCATATAAATCGTTAGTAGTGGTAACTTCACTTGATATCGTATCACTGCGAAATTTCACTGAACATTTTTTATGCTCTGGGCAAACATCTGCAATACACTGACATGCACTCCCCACTCACCAGAAGCAAATCGATGCTTCCCATTCTTGGTCTTGGTCTGAATATATTTGATTACTTATTTTAGAATAACTTGGTTTGGTTTTAGCATCTAGAAACTCATGACTGGAAATACATTCCAACACAATGTGTAAATCAAGGGAGATATAAGAAGTATTTTAATGATCCAAAAATGAAAGTTTTTGAGTGTTTTTGTTAGCTAATCATGCAACTATCGTATTGAAGAGTAAAATTTAGGATAAGAGAGGTAAACTAGCCAATGAAGTTCTAAGTAATTTGAGACCGTTGAAATGTGTTAAAACAACAAGATGAGGAATATACAATTCACTTAATTCCTGAAGCTTCATGAAGTGGGTAACGGACCTCATCTAGTGTGGTTGGGTTGGGATAGTGCTCAGTTGACCAAACTTTAATAAGCAAAAGGGAATTTGATACCTTGACAGATAGGTCAATCAACCTAAAATCTTGCACAGAAGTTCATAACTTCAGCTTATCACACTTTATATTAAGGGGAATTTAATGGAAATCTTTGACGTGTTAGTTGAGCTTTTAGTACCTAGTGGGATAAGCTACATAATCTTCACTGCATCATCTTATTTTAAGTGAAGTGAGACACACGTCAAGATACATTAAACTAGGTAATAAGATCACTGAATTTCTCTTTGGAATTACCAGTAAAAGTTGGTTGTTGTAGGTTCACAGTAGCTAAGATAAACTTATAAGTTTTAGTACTATGAACACTGATCTGACGTTCTATCATTTTTAAAAAGTTTGCATTATAATCTCAACATGTTCAAAATGCTACAGCTTATCCAATAGAAAAAAGCTATATCCCACTTAATAGTCCAAATATATAGTCAAATCGTGCAGATTATTGTTTAAGGTTTAGCTCACTGTTGACATGATTCCAACCTATCTGTTAGCATATTTTTTCGATAACACTACATGGTGAAACTGTTACGATTTTCTCCTTAAAATCCTTTATCTAAAATCGGTGATTTTCCATTTCATGCATGTACATGCGTTAGCCGTAAACGAAAAATTAATGTTCTAAGCCACAGTAATAACAAATCACTTGTTAAAGTTACTTGACATAACTTATTCTCGACTTCAATGTATTCTTTAGCGACTGAATTATTAAGCAGCATTCCTAAGTATTCCAAAAATCTTTCGCTAACGTTAAGCAGATTGTGGGAAATATGTGTAAAGCCACCCTTACGTCAAATGTTTTAATACTTTTGTGAGAAAATTGTAAAATCCTAATAGTTCATAAGGTTACTTAACAGGTGTCTGTCATATGTAATTGTTATGCTTTATATGGACGCTTTGGTTACTGAATGAAAAACTTATGAATAAGTAAGGAAATCAAAAGTTTGTTGAAGACTTCAACGGATGAGCCGACTAAAGTTACTTTGTTACTACAAAGTAAGAGGTATATATCTGTTTCTCTTTCTGCAACAAAATTCCTCTGAGTACTCTACTCGTTACTCCTTATCAAAAGTATTTTCTTTATTAAGATGCTATTTTGTAATGACCATCATATTAATTTCTGCAGCTATTTATATGATCATGAAATCTAGAAACAGAATGAATTTCTACGTAAAGGGAAGAATATGAATGGGCACTGAAGTTTAGTTTGTAGGAAGTCAATTTATCTTAGACCAGTTTCAGTTAAAGAACACTGAGTACACCCTAGAGTTATTCTGTGTTAATTCGTTTGTTGAATAGTTCATACAGTAAAACAGTATTTTTTTACCAGATGGCTTTTCAACTAATTTACTACTCACAGTCGTATGCTTAAAAAGTAAATACTGATAAATTTGCCTGATGTGGTTATGAAACGTCCACGAAAAACTTCAAAACTCTGTGAACACCAAGCAATTATCTTCATCCTGAGCTCCAAATCTTCCCTATCTCAAATAATACTGTTTCACTGTATAAAATCTTCAATTAGCATGGAATGATACGCTGCCACAGTTCTACTTTAACATTAATACCTTATCGTAGTTTATGAAGTCTTGTCAGACAGACCTTACATCTTCAAATTATTGTTACCACTCTGATCAATAGTTTACATAACCATCTGCCGTTAACTAGTGGTTGTCTTTGCGCATAATATTTACGAAGTTCTTTTAGAAGCCTATGATATGTGAATTCAACTAAAAAACCAATTGGACGAATGCGATTCATCTTCCAATGAAATTGTGAGATAGTCTTGCCATATTACATTTCGAATTGTTTCAGGTAAAAGGATGTATTTTCCAAAATTTTACTGAGTAACTTAATGTCCCTTTGTTCTTCAACAAAACTAAGGGTTCTGAGCTAGACATCAGAATACTTGAAAAGTTTTTGTCACTAATGAGTTTCAAGCTAGGCGGAAAATTTGCAGAATGCATCCCTATTTTCCATAGTCTTTCAACTGATATCAAATTACCGACTAAAAACTAGAGAACGCGTATACTGTGCTACAGTTTGTTTCCTCCTATTATACAGTCGATGAACATAAAAGATATGAAGAGGCTACAGGATTTTTTGTCTTCGTATCATTACTCACATGTGATAGAATCACCATGTGAACAATGGTGAGGCTGTTAATAAGGTACTAGTCAAAGAAGGTACGTTAGCTGAAAACATGACCTTTCAGCAACTAAGGTGGCTTGAACGTGTGTTCCGTATCTCGAGTCACCTCCTACCTCGACATGCAGTGCTAGCTGAAATAGCAATGTGTTGGAAACAGACTAAAGATAGCCAGATCAAGATGTGACACTGGTCCATGAAGTTGTTGACTGCTGATTTAATAAGTGTACGGGGGTATAGACTGCCTGGCTTGAGCCTTTGATATAATGAGAATCATTAGTTGTAGACTTTTAGTGAGATGGCTGAAAACCGGCCACAATAGACAAGATGTGTGCACTCTTTGACATCTTCGTAGGTTAGAGCGTTTTGTTGGGCCTTGATTTTTTAAATTCTCTCTTTCATGTGCTTTTGTCTACTTTAATATTACTTTTTCTACCTACTTATTCTTTTCATACTGTTGTATTGTGTGGCATTTTGAACGAATTCCTTTCTATGCTAAGTTCTATGTTGATTTGTTTTCCTATCTGTTCATAAAGGAAATTATTTATATGTAAGAAACGAAACAAAATCAGTTTTCCTAATTTGCAGGCTTACATCTTCTGACATTATTGATCAAAAACAAAAACGTGTTGATCAACTGAATCAAGCCAAACATCAAGCTGTCAGTGAAATGCACAAACTCAAAGATCAGATGCACAAAGTACGTCTTCGCTTCGTTTTATCTGATGTATAAATTTAAAGAAATATCTTCGAAAGAATACTATAAATCATATAATTTCATATTTGTTTACTTTTTTAGTTAGAGCAGGAAAATTTGGATAATATTCGACTAAGAGATGAGCTTTCACGCTTAACTTGTGACTCTGAAACACGCAGGATTGAATTATCTGAATTAGAATGTAATCAGCTCCCAGCTGTTCATCGTCGATGGACTGAAGCATGTGATCAACGTAATCGTCTTACTAAGAACCGTGAGCATACAATTGAGCAAGCCACTACAAAGGTGAGTTAATGAATGAGTATAAATCAGAGAACAATTTACATGTATTTATAGTATATAGTCTAATATTTTTTACTGATAGCTTCTTTATACCAATTCAATCCGAAGTATTTCACATTTTATTAAGGTTAATGAAATTCGTGATCGATTGAAAAATCTGACAGAAGCATGCACTTCTGTCAGAAATGCATCCAGTTCCCAGCCCAAAAATAAACTAAAAGCTATTCAAGAAAATTTGGAAGAAATTCAAACAAACTTATGTCACATCAAATCCGAAGTGGATACTTGTAACGAAAATGTTGAACTTTTAAAAAAACAAATCAGTGAACATAAAGTGGGTTTAAACTCATTCAGTAGCTTTTGTCAAATTGTTACTAAAAATAAATCACCTTAAAATTGGTTTTAATATTTTAGCGACCGAGATTTATGAACTGTATTGTTATTTGACTCATTCGTGGTTAATAAACAACTTCATCACAAACCGAATGCCATTTCAGATAACTTCCATTAGTGATAAATGTCTGCCAGGTTCTGGAACACAGGCACATATACTAGTGCTTGATACTAGCTACATTTCATAACCTGAAAGGGCCACTCGACTCAGTCGATCGGAAAGTCCTATGGCAGTGTCTCTCACTGAAAGGAATACCGGGTAAGTACACCATCCTATAAAAACCTGTGTACTCGAACGCCTGTGAATGTGTCAGAGCCCATAATGAGTTATTGTGTTAGCTACTTACGTTGAGCAGTGTCTGTTAAGGATGTCCGCCATGCATGCTTATTTACTTTTGTCAGCGATGTGCTTACATAGGTTTCCTTCGTTTCGTCTGACTTTACAGGGATTGGTGTAGATTATGCAGATGACAATCCTGTTAGATGAATACGCTGACAATATTCAGAGATTACTGAACACTAAGTGGCAATCTGAAAATTTTTTGCGGTGCGTCCTTCACCACTCACACACAAATTATTGTGCCTGGACTGGTCCACTTTATTGCCCCGTCTAACATTAGGGAATGAACTGTTTGAGCACGATGACCACTTCACTTACGTGGGAATTCGAATCAGCCCTGATAGGTCAGTGAGCGATGAAGTTTCACGATGCATACTAAAGGCAAGCATGACTTTCACCAACTAACGCCACTCATGGTGCTGCCGTAAAAGTCAGTTAATGAGGCTATAAACCTTCTCCGATTCAGGTAACTGAGGTATGTGGTACCCATGCCTTTCTACTGTGTGCTTCTTCTCACAATGTTAGCCATAGTATGTTGTGGTTGGGAAAAGATCAGAGGTGGCCAGACCAAATCATGGCATCAGTCTCTGAAGTCTTTAACTGTTGGTGTGGGCTGTGTAGAGAAATATAGGCTCCGCAGTTGCGGTCTGTGTGACAACTGAAATCAATGGTTGGAAACTGTAGGTGATATGGCTCAGTATTAGTCAGACAGACAAAATCAACGTAGAACCTCGCTCACTAGTCCATCGGTTCAAGTTGCCACACTTCAAAGTAGCATACAAAGAGTAAATCTATAGAAAAAAAGTGATATCAGGGTAGAAAAAGTTGTGTGAGAAGATAAACAATTTGACGATAAAGGTTGGTGCGAATAGTTAGCTGATAGTGTTTATGACTGAAAAATTCCATGTTAATGCCAATGAGTTGTTCGCCACTTTCTGTCTTTCCAAGGTCATTTCACTGATATTTATTCTAAATAAAAAATATCTACATTTTGAAAGTTACTTCTTTTAAAAGTTATTATTAGTGAAAAACTGTAACCAAATTGCTAACTGATAACATTTTGGTGTTCTCTAAACTATTTTTTTGTCGTCATGGTTTCACCATTAGGGTTAGTAACATCACGAAGAATACTCCCGCTACAGAATTGATTAACTCAGAGTACACGGAAACCGTTTTCCTCATTGTGAGGTAAAAATGTATCCTGTTATCTCAAAACGATCAGTTTTAGGTGTTAGTATTAGATGTGGTTACAACTAGAAGAATGTGTTTAGAAAAACTAGTAAAGTGTGTACATTTGTTAGGAAAACTAGTTTGTTGTGATTGTTTTTATGTATTGCAAAATTTAACTTTTTTTTTACTGTGAATGTTATAGAGTTATATTTGCTTCCAAATGAATAACTACTAAGTTCATAGTATATATTCAATGGACTTTCATGTCTTCTGTTATTTACCGTTTATGTTTGGTCATCTCATCTTAAGAATACGGAGTTTTTAATGATCGGTTATTAGTCTAATGTCATTCAGAACATCATTTGACAACTGCCGTTGACTTTTATGTAAAACTTACTTCTTTCACTGAATAAGTCTGTTTCAGTCTTCCCTCGCTTTAGTTTGTTATAACTTTTACAGATACGTCAGCGAGAATTGGCTGACTGTTCTCAACTTCGTCAACTGCGTTGTCAGCTGACTTCCTTAACACAACGAACAGAATCCCTCGTACAGAATCAAAAGACCTGTGACAATTTTCCTGGATCGGATCAAGATTTGATCAAAGAAACAAAGCGCTTATCACTGGAGGAAGAAAAGCTTCATTCACTTGTAAACCATTTTTCAAAGTCAACTTGTCTTTTTTACATTTTTGCTTAATAATATTCCAAGTTTTAATCCCCAGTCTTAAAGCAGAGAAAAGTGAATTCCATACAGTATATGTGCATCTATTGGATACATAGCACACCGTAGCACTTACTGATTTCTAGTTTATGTAATGTCCGAGAAATTTAAAGCGTGTGTTTGGTGGCGGTGAATGACACCTAGTCCCTTAATTAGGTTGTAGGTTTCGCACTGTTGATGAGCACAAAACGAGAAGAAAATAACTGTCCAATGTTTTCAGTGATTTCAGGATGAAATCAATCAACCAGTTGGTAAGTGCACTATGCGAAAGTCAGTGATACTACGCTGTTGTATCTAGACCGGAGTAGACAGAAAATTAGTTGGTAACTGGGATCTAATGGTTGAAAGCTAAGTACCTACACCACTAGACCGCACTTCCAACTTATCGAGTCACACAACTTCAGGAAGTGATTCATATTGATTATTTGCACTAAGATTCATTTTTAGCCACTCTTGTGAAGTTAATTTTCGTTGGCAATAATAGCCAATTAAACAATCAGTAAGTATCAGCCAGTCTTAGGCACTTGTTTCGTTTTACCTCGAGAATTCATTCAAATCGTACATTGGTTTTGAGGTTAACATACTTATCACAACAACTGAATTCCTTCCTTCACTAATTACTAGCCAGTCCTAACCCCGGCCAAAGAGGAAAGGTTGGGCGTAGAGCTAGCAACCCTACCCCCTAAAACAAATCTAACCGCTAAAGAAACTTCAAAGCACAAACAAAAGATAAAAAATGGATACAAAATTATTCCTCGCTGGAATCGGAGAGGCGAAATGACGCCAGCTGGTGAAAGCCTTCAGAAAGCCAACTGACCGATGTGTCTTCTCTCTCTCCCCCTCTCGATGAAAGCCAAAGTAAACATAGGGACATAGAATGTCCGCATGATGTTTGAACCTAACAAGGCTGCCAGATTGCAAAAGAAATGAGAAGGCATAGCATTGAAGTGCTAGGCTAGGAATCTGCAAGGCAAATGGAATGGAAGTCAACTCTCCAAACTGTCAACTGGAGAGTCAATAATCTACTCCCATATTGTCACCCAGATGACAATCACGAGCACACTGAGTTTCGGAGTGGCTATCATGATGTCTTCAACAACATCGAAGGCTCTCGTGTAGTGGGAGCCAATCTCTTCCAGGGTCATGAAAGCGAGATTCAACTCAAAAGGAAGGAAAGTCACAATCGCACAATGCCAATGCTACGCGCCTACAAATAATCCAGACCAAGAGAAGAAGGAGGAATTCTATAGACAACTGAGATCAGTACTGGACAAGACCATACCCCAGATGGTGACATCAAAATTCTAATGGGTGGGGTGACATGAATGCCAAACTGGGAGCAAACAACACAGGAAGAGAACCAACCATTGGTCGAGAAGCACTCGGTGAAATGAACGAGAATGGAGAACTGTTTGCAGACTTCTGCACACTTAACGATTTGGTGATTGGAGGTAGTGTGTACAAACGCAAGGATATTCACAAAGCGACATGGATTTCACCAGATGGACACACTAAAAATCAAATCGACTTTATCTCAATATGAAGAAAGTGGAGACGCAGCCAGCCTACTTGACACAAGGTCAAGAAGGGGAGCAGATGTAGGTTCACACCACTCACTGTCTAGTGCTAGGAACCTACCTTCCAAATCTAGTTGAAAGCCTTCAAGGAAGTTGGTGATAGACCACAGTTCAAGTTCAACATCCAGAGCAGAAACTGAAGGATGAAACCACAAATGACATCTTCACGTCAGCCACCAAAACAAAATAGAAGATATCCAGGAACATCCCTGAAGAAACCTGTGTGGATGAACACTGGAACTCTTTGAAAGAGATGTGGAAAGATACCTGCATAACCGTATTAGGAAGGAAGAAAATAAGGAATCGACGTCGACGGATACATGGAAGCTGACAGAGAAGGGAGAGGAAGATGGCGAAGCAGAAGATGAACCAGTGCAAGGTTGAAGAACGAAAGGAAGAACTGAGTACAACCTATAAAACATTTAACAAAGAAGTGAAGTCGAGTGCGCGAAAAGACAAAAGACACTTCTACGACACACTGGCAAGTGAAGCAAAACAGGCTGCAGGTAGCAGAAACAGATACTTGACAACATTGTGTCAAATAACCAGGTTGCTATCTGGGAAGAGATCAATGCAGTGCAGATGAAACCAATAAAAGATGATGAATGAAACTTAATTACCAAGGAAGAGAAGAAAAGGAAGCGATGGGCTGACCACTTCAAGAAGCTCTTGAATCGACCACCACCTGCAGCCCAGCCACAGAACTACCAGTGAACACAAGCCCTCGAACGAAAGTCGAAGTCCTGAACACCATAAAGCTTGTGAAGTGTGGGAAAGCAGCAGGACCAGGTAAAATCCCGCCAGAAACACTGAGAACAGATGCAGGGACAACAGCGGACATGCTCACACCACTATTGCAGAAGGTCTGGAAGGAAGTAAAGGTACCTGGAGATTGATTGGAAGAAGGGCTAACTTGTCAAACTCCCAAAGAAAGGCGACTTAAGTGTCTGCAAGAACTGGAGCGGTATCATGCTCCTGTCTACTTCAAGCAAAATATTAAGCCGTATCATTGTGGAGGGACTAAGAGATGCTCTGGATTCAAAATAACCACCGGAACAGGCTGGCTTCAGGAAGTACAAATCATGTGCGGATCAAATTGAGACCCCACGCTACGCGTCGTCATACAACAGAGTATAGAATGGCAGTCAACCCTCTACCTCAGCTTTGTCGACTTCGAAAAGGCTTGTGACAGCGTCGACCGAGAAGTGATTTGGCAACTGCTGCAACACTACGGAGTGGAACCCAGATGGGAAACGACGAGTTGGGCATCCAAGGGTGACACGAAGGAGATTGTGTGAGGGAAAAATGAGAGCTTGTGGGCAGTCGTGGAGCCAGGTTCAAAAGATTGCAGAGAACAGAGTGGAATGGAGACATGCTACTGAAGCCCTATATTCCACTAGGAACCCAAGGGACAAATAATCATATGAAATATATATAAAGAGCTATTCAGTATACCCTGGTATTCATTGTCAGTCTGTTTCATAATGTGTAATGGAGCTAAGTCACTATCACTATGAAGAAACTATTGTTCAAATTTCATCATAATGATTACAAGCTTAGTTTGCTTTCCACTTATTATCTAAATAAAACCAGGTATCCTATATTCATTCACCGAATTTTCCACTCAGAAGTTACTTTCACCACACACTGTATCACTACTGAGAGTTTTATATGCTTTTTATTGACGTGATCCAAATTTCTGGTTTTTAGGCCTTTATAATGAATCCCTCCTTTCCCCGTGTTTAGAAACAGGATATATCCAACCGATTGAGTGAATCAAGAGCAAAACTGCTTTATCTCAATCGTGATTTAAATGAGAAATACGCCAACGCTGACAGTGAATATCGTGATATGATGTACCAGCTTAAAGTAAGTTTTTATTTCATCACCCAGTAGTAACTAATTTTCTGTTGTCTTGTCTTGTGTACTTACTAAATTCTATCGACCGAGTTTGAAATATAATTACCGAGCTAAGAAACGTGCAATCATTTTGCCATTTGTGTCAGTTTTAGACATTTGATTTCGAAAGTTGATCTACTGAATGTATTATGAATAAGCTTTTATATACAACCTTAATTAACATCAAGAAATTTAAGAACATCATTTAAATGGACAGCCCCAACCATTTGCTTGTAGGGTCATCTACGAAATAGAGAAGCAGGTAGGTTTGCTGGTTCTACCATAATGTTCAGGCGTTTTCTTCACCGAATAACAGAAGTTATATTATTCAAAATTGCCAGTTAAATTAAAAGCACACTGAAATGTATCACTCTGATCAAAGAGGAATGGTTCAGGAATTGAAGTGTCAGTCTGCTATGCAAAGTAAGGGTCTTCAGTTGATTTTTTGATAAGACGTTATTACTATTATTATTATTATTATTATTATTATTATTATTATTATCATTTGACTATTTGACATTGCCGTAGTCTAGGAGACTAGTATTTATACTGAGCGATGATTGAAAGTGAGATGAAAATCTAGGCCTTATTCGAACCAGCGACCACCGGGTTTTCATCTCACTTTCAACCATCACCCAGTATAAATACTAATTTGCCAAACTACGGCTATCTCAGATGGTCAAATAATAATCAATATGATGCTCCCCCTCTCTGATTCAGTTAGGTTTGGATTGGGATTAGAAGTCTTGACTAGGTAGCCAGTGTAAATACGATCAAGTAACGCGTCACGAATTCACATGGTTGTCGGGCAAAATCCTTGGTGATTGGAGTGAAATAAAAATCAGACCTCGTAGCTCAGTTGGTAGATCACTGGGCCGATAACCCGGTGGTCGCTGGTTTGAATCCGGCCGCGGTCCAGATTTTCATCTCACCTTCAATCATCACCCATTATAAAAATGTTATGAACCTCTACAGCCATTCATTAATAAATGAAAGTACACCTTATTACTTTGCTGCATGATAGCATCGTCACCTTTTACAATTTAGCTATATCAGTCTGCTAGAGGGATGGAACATTAAACCACTGCCTAGACTGTCAATATACATTCCAGTAAGGGATATCACTAATAATATATCACCTGAAACTTATGAACAAATTCACCCAGTGTTTTCATACCATCTGTCCTATTCGTTATACGCAAAGGTAATGAGTATTTTATAGTCTTAATTGTCAATGGACAGTATTATGTTTCACGCACTGTTGTATATATTTCATTGGTGTAATTCATGTGAATTATTGAGTGATTTCTAGATATCGTATAAATAAATATGAGGTAGTCTAATATAACATGAAGTATGATAAGGAAGATATTTTATTGTCCTCCGTGGTTTATGTATTTCTCATCTCTTATGAATTTTACTAGACGTTTTAACTTATCTTACTGCTTCAAATTTCATGATAAATCTTTATAGACTTAAATATCGTTTTATGAGTGTAATGGTGGTTAAAATACTACCAAATATTTGTTAAAATTTTCATCATACTACATTTCCTTACACCTAGACTTCGGAATTGGCTTGTACAGATCTTGAACGTTATTACAAAGCTCTTGATCGGTATGTTATACACTAATCCAATAAATGAATGTAGTTTGCTTTCAGTAATGATTATTTTTAATTGGGCTCCTAAGATTTCAACATGACTCAAGCTAATAACTATATCTCCGAGTTTACCAAAACCTACTACCTCGATGAGATAGCTGGCCTAGCACACCATGAGCTTTTCTGTCTGAGACGACTGTTCTTTGAGACCATATCATAAAAGCTTCCTTCATAGAGATACGACCAAAAGTAAACCAGTTGATTTTGTGAAACTTTATCGACGGAAATTGTGGAGGTATACGAACATATATGTAGCTACTGGTTGCCTTAATGAACAATATTAGCTGGAGTATAGGAAGGATCGAAAAAGTCTTGCAAGAGCCAAAACAAGTTTTTCAGTACATGTATTTTCCAAAAGTTGAACTTTTCCCCCGAGTTGATGTCCACTAGATAACTGGTGTTTGGAAGCTTTAGGCGATACAGTTCAAACCCACGTACGGTGATAATTGGCGCCTACACTAGTTAACAACCATATGTTTGGAGAATTTGCAGGTACCTGGCAACCACTCATAGACCATCTTAAATTATTAATTAGACTCATTCTTTAATATTCTCCAACACTTATACAAAGATGAGAACGTTTGAATGAACTTCACTTACGATCTACGGAACTTCAGTTCAATACTGTAGCAGCTCAGCAAGTAGATATGATTCAATTACTGATAATTCATTTAATGTGTAGATATTCAATAGGATATACCTACCGGAAAATAAATCGACTTCGATCAAGTTATTAATTAAAACCTCGATTAGTAAATCCTAATTTTGTTACCGGTGGTATGTTTAGCCATAGAAATAACTCAAATGTTAGAAACATTCATGTTTAATGTTCAAAACTGATTAGTTATTTTGAAATACGTAATCGGTTCAACACCCAGAAACTAATGGACGAAACCACAAAGGACATCTTCACGTCAGTCATCACAACAAAATGGGAGACATTAAGCAACATCCGTGAACAAACCTACGTGGAAGAACACTAGAACTCTTTGAACGAAATGTGGAGGGGAACTTGCATAACCGTGTTAGGAAGGAAGAAGAAACAAGACGAGACAACGAATGGATCTACACGGACACATGGAGGCCGATAGGGCAGGGAGAGGAAGATGGTGAAGCAGGCGAACCAGTGCAGTGCACGGATTAACAGCGAAAAGCGGAACTGAATACAACCTACACAACACTGGACAAAGGAGTGAAGAAGAGTCCGTCGAAAGGCAAAAAACACTTCTACGACACACTTGCAAGTGAAGCAGAACAGGCTGATGGCTGGTAGGAGAGACCTGACAACATTATATCAAATAACCAGGTCACTATCTGATAGGGAAGACATCAACACAGCACAGATGAAACCAATGAAAGATAGTGAAGGAAACCTAGTTAGCAAAGAGGAGAAACAAAGAAAACGATGTGCTGACCACTTCAAAAAACTCCTGAATCGACCACCACCTGCAACTCACCCAGAAATACCACTAGTAGTCCCGCCATAGAACAACCAGTGAACACAAACCCTCCGACAAAAGCAGAAGCGAAGCCCTGAACGCCATAAAGTTGCTGAAAGCCGGGAAAGCAGCAGGACCAGATGGAATCCCACCAGAAGCACTGAAAACACGCAGAAACAACAGCGAACATGCTCACACCACTACTGCGGAAGGTTTCGAAGGAGGGAAGGGTCCCTCCCGATTGGAAGAAGGACTTCCTTGTCAAACTTCCGAAGAATGGCGACGCAAGTCATTTCAGGAAGTGGCGCAGATTCATGCGCCATTCCTGTCCATCCCAGGCAAAATATTATGCCCCATCATCCTGGAGAGACTAGAAAGTGCTCTGGATTCAAAATTACGACCGGAACAGGCCGGCTGGCGGACTTCAGGAAGAACAAATCATGTGCGGATTAGATTGCAACCCCACGCTACGCATCATTATAGAACGGAGTATAGAACTGGAGTCAACTCCCTATCTTACCTCAACTTCATCGACTTTGAAAAGGACTTCGACAGCGTCGATCAAGATTTAATTTGGCAGGCAGATGCTTCAACACTACGGAGTGCCACAAATCTTTATCAACCTCATTCAACAGCTATATGAAGACGCTACATTTCAAGTGATCCACAATGGAAAGCTAAGTGATGCCTTTGAAGTGAAGACAGGAGTAAGACAAGGCTGCCTACTATCACCGATGATCTTCCTGATTGTGGTTGACTGGATCATGCAGCGAACCGTGAAGAGCAAGTAGATGGGCATACGCTGTTTGACCGATGAAAAGAGCCTAGAAGATTTGGGTTTCGCCGATGATATATGTCTAATGTTTCACAAACTCGAAGATCTACAGACAAAAACCAACAAGTTGACAGAAGAGACGAGGCGGCAAAGACGGGACTTTAAATGAAGGAGGTGATGAAGAGGTGATGAAGATAAGGAGGTGATGAAGATACCCAACCAACGCCACCACCAACAACAACAAGCTCCAATCACTATCAATGGGAGAAACCTACAGGAAGTAGTTTCTTTCACCTACCTAAGCAGCATCGTTTCAATTACAGATGGCACAGACGAGGATGCCGAAGGCAGGATCGGAAAAGCAAGACAGGCGTTCATTAACCCTAAAACCAGTGTGGAGATCTGCACTCAGCATGTGTAACAGGATCCGGATTTTCAACACTAATTCAATCAAGTAAGTCAGTGCTTCTATGTGATGATTCAGAGACTTGGCGCGTTACGAAAAGCATTTCCAACAAACTACAGACATTCATCAACCACTGTCTACGCTGGCTCGTTAGTGAAGCTCAGATGGCCAGAATAATAAGAATAAGCAACAAGGAACTCTGGCCGGGCAACGAATCAACCAAGAACCTATCACTCAACAAATATGCAGAAGGAAGTGGAGATGGACTGGGCATGCACTGAGAAGACCATTCGGAGACATCACGCGCCAGGCACTCGAGTGGAACCCAGATGGGAAACGATGAGTTGGGCATCCAAGGGTGACATGGAGGAGATTGTGTGAGGAAGAAATGAGAGTTTGTGAGCAGTCGAGGAGCCAGGTTCAAAAGATTGCAGAGAACAGAGTAGAATGGAGACATGCTACTGAAGCCCTATGTTCCACTAGGAACCCAAGAAAAAATAATAATGTAGTAATAATAACCGGTTCCCATTCACTGTGAGAACTAGCTTCTGTGTTTGCGATCATTCCCCCTACAGCTTACGAGTTTCCTTTAAGCTGGGGCTGATCGGTCGCAGATTTAAATCCTACTCTACCTACCGAAGTTTAGAGAGACTGGTATTATCACTGGTCTTCATACTATAGGTACGGTTCACTGAACGAATGTGCACGTGTTTGATGAGTTACATTTCAATTTTCTTCACGTCATTTAAACATGTCTGTTGTGAAGTATTTAACGAAAGTAATATACACAGTCCTTTAATGCATTTTTAGTTGTTTTTTTAATGTTGATTAAAATCCAAAAAATTATCATTCTCCTAAAATACTAATCAACCTTCCTGATTTCCTCCATAGAGCTATCATGTCCTATCATGCTGTTAAGATGGCTGATTTGAATAAAATTATCCGAGAATTATGGAGAAGCACATACCGTGGGAATGGTTAGTTTATTGTGGCAAATAACCTCAGTTAAATCTGAATAAATTACACTTATCATTTGAATGCGACAGAGTTTGAGTATTACTTGATATTGATCAAAATTTGTGATAAAATCATTTGAGAAGCCTCGTTTAGAATAAGTTAAAACCTTTTCACCTGAATGTTGTTGCTTGTATTACTTAAATACCTCAAGCCTGTGGTTTAGTATCATTAGATTAGTCAGTGGTTCTATAAGACATGAGTGCTACTTGGAAAACATTGGTGCTCATCGTCTATGTTCAATAGTTGTAGTTCACTATATTCTATGCAAAGCGGTGCTGAGGCGTCATTGAGAAATTGTTAACCGTATGACATACATCTGGCATTTTCACAGTTATATCAAGAAGGTTGAGGGTGTTTTACTACCTGTGAATAAACCGTCGGTAAACTCAGTCCCCGAAGAGTTGAAGAGAAATGATAAAGCTGTAAAATTACCTGGTTTCGAAGTAACTTAAATATTTATCCGAGATAATATAATCATATTAATCAAATACTTTAATTTCCATTCTGATATACAGACATAGATTACATCGAAATATGTAGCGAAGAAGATACAACCGTAGCCTCGAATGTCAGCAGAACGCGAAGAACTTACAATTATCGTGTTGTAATGGTGAAGGCGACAGGATGGACTAAGTCAATCTCGCGACCTAAGTCTAAAAATTCCAATGGAGACAACAACGAAGCTCGTTTAGATATGCGTGGTCGATGTTCAGCCGGACAGAAAGTACTAGCCAGTCTCATCATTCGTTTAGCTCTGGCTGAAGTTTTTTGCTTACATTGTGGAGTACTTGCACTCGACGAACCAACTACAAACCTTGACAGGGAAAATATTGAAAGTCTAGCTCATGCACTCGTAGAGTAAGTGTTTTAACCTATTTATGTAGCTTACAGTTTGTACTTTGAAACGAAATTTTAGCCTAGGATGAAACAGGTGGTCAGCGTTCCCTCCCAGATTTCCGACTTATCGTTTCGTGATGAAAGCTAATTTAAAATTAGTCCATAAATCGCCCCTCCCATAGACCAACCGAACTACCGACATCTTCAGTTTGTAAAAACTAAAATTCTCTTGTGTTGACTGCAGAGGAATCACTTGAAGTAATAGCATGCCTCTAAAGTTCCAGGATGCACATTGACTGAAAGTGCTACCGATTAGACATAACCATCCACCAGATTCAAATAATACGAACCACTACTGACAGCCCACACTCAATATGGACGGAATTTGAGTACACTGATTGAAGCTATTGACAAAAACTTTCTACGTGCAAGGAGTTTAAAATGACTGTATCGTATCGCTATGCGCTTTATACAAAGTTACGCAGTTATGTGTGTTATTCCGTGAAGTGGTTATTTTGAATTTCAGTTATCAAGAAGATCAACGATCATCATCTACACACAAATCAGTAGCGACTACGTTGCGTGTTACATTCAAGTAATTCGTCAACCATGATATGTAATTGTGTTTGGAAAAGGAATGATTGGTAAGACACCACTACCCTACCGTATGGGACTATACGTTGTTTAGTATGTTCCAACCTGATGATAATACCATATTTACTTTACAGCGTCTATCCACTCCTATTCACTGATGTATTGGTTTTTAGGATAAAACTAGGTACTAGTGTCAAATAAACACAAAACAGAAGACTACGTAACTTTTTCCTGAAATTAAGACTACTTAGATTACAATGCAGTTAGTGAACTAACTGACGCAAGGAAGTGACGCTGAAAAATTAAAGCTTAGGGTGAAAATAAATCTGAAAGCGAATGTAAGTGAAAATAACTGGTGTCGGTTTTTTCTCTACAAAAAAACTTGCTCATTTAAACCTGGTGAATTATCGTTTTGAAGTATCTATCAACCTACTTTAGCTGTAATTCCATATCAGATTGTTTACTGGAATTGTTGGATCCAACAAAATAACGGAGAATAACAAGTATGTCAATAAATAGTAATAACTACTACCCGTTGTACAAGAAGTGTCTATCGTTCCTCCGTGGCATAGTGGGTAACGCCTTGGCGTTTGAAGCGATAGGTACGAGGTTCAAGTCCCAACGGGGACAACATCACTGGGGTGCAGGTATGTCCAGCTGACGAGTCCCAACCAGGTCGAAACGCGCGTCCTGGGTTCTCCTGCTAGCCACAACCAACCAATTTATCATAATTAACATTCAGGCAATATCGAGGCATCCGCAGAGGAGCCCATATGCCAATAGAGATCGAACAATTCGATCCAACAAAACAACGGAGAATAACAAGTATGTCAATAAAATGTGCGTTGCAGGGTTTTTACTTAGAAAGTTACTTTTCAAAACTTTTCTTGAAAGGACCAACAAAATTTTGAACACAGAATATACATCCAAAATGTCAACAGCGGTCACGATTTAGTACTTGGAACTTGTTCAATATGAAGAATACTCTAATTTGACGGTAGTCTTAGTGTGTAGTCATGAGGTTACAGTTAGAATGATGAATGGTGATCATATTGCATCAACTTTGCTTTGATTAACTGCATGATTGTGAAAAGCCTATGAGTTTGATTGTATCATTATTTCTTCAATACAGAATAATAAAGAACAGAAGACGTCAAAAGAATTTTCAGCTAATTGTTATTACACATGATGCAGACTTCGTCGAATTACTAGGCAGATCAGACTATGTGGAGAACTTTTTCCTACTATCTCGTGATGCACAGTAAGTTGAGTTCATTAACCCTTCATGGACAATATATTTATTTTTAGAGGTTTATCGGAGATCCGAAAAGTCCCTATCGGAGAACATTTCCATTAATTTATACAGAAGCATGCACTTTTATATACTTCAATACAACTTTATAACAAAATACGCTATTGTTCTTTATTCGCTTATCCATTATTTTCGATCTCCTTTTTCGAAATGCACACGAAATATGAACTCCATACCACCTGGGTTACTTCGAAATATTACTATGAAGAATTACAAGCCACACTTGTTAAGACATTGTTATTATCTACTAGACTGACCGGACAAATACGTGGAATTTTAACGCTTGCACTAAGCCCCAGTGCATGGATAGTTAACAGATTTGTAACAATTCAAACTAGATGAGGATAGCTTAGCAAAATATAATGCAGAAATTAATCTAAAATTTGTTTTTGCACAGCATGAAAGCGCCATGCTACAACAATACTTTATGAATTCAAGTCGTTTCCTATTCATCAATGAAATCTTTATAATAAATTTTACGATTCATATGTTAAGAATAGTAAGAAATAAATAAAACACTACCCCCATATCGATTCATTTAATAGCATTACAACTCAACAATCATGTAGAGGTTCATGTAGTAGTCAGTTAACCACACTTGTTGTTTTACATCAGCAATACTACTAGAATACTTGGAACTGTGAAGTTGGAGTGCGGTTGAAACTCGTGAATCACTGATGGAAACTCAAGTCATAGATCCACTCTATATCGAATCAAACAGCTCTCTAGGAAAGGATGAAGTAAGTATGAAAAAGTCCTTTATTTCAAAAGTGGGCTATTGCAGAAGTGTACACATTAACTTTGTCCCTGAAAAAATCCTTTGTGGTTTCATGTAGTACGTTGTCATCGCCTTCGCTTAGGAGATGGTGATCTTGAACCTGGAGATAACCCTGGCCGGCTAAAATAAAAAAGATAATATAACTATTTTGTCTCTGGACGTATAAATCTCCATACTGACAAGAGAACAACGATTACAAGTAGATCATTACAATTATAAGGCATTCACCCAAAGAATATATCGCGAATAACTTTTACTGCTATTTATATCAGCACCACTTTAACAGCACTCATATTTAAGGTTCGTTATTCTACGACAGTAATTTCACGAATGCAGATCCACAGAGATCCTAAAGACAATATTTTTACGAAAGTAACTTATCTGCTCAAGTAAGTCACTAGAGAGTAGATGGCAATTTGTTACACGCCATTTACAAAATAAATTGATGACGGTCACTGTATTAGGTGTATTTCATTTGCGTGGTCCCGCTGTATTCTATTATAACAAACAGATTACAATATCTATCCACTGAACCTTACGAAATGATTGAGAAGAAATCAACAATTTACAAAGCAGCGCCAAAGACAAACAAATTTCTACACACTTTAAAATAAACACCAATCAGGAGAATCCAAAATATTTAATCATTTAGTTCGTTTTAGTATATTACATCCAGACCACAAGTAAAATGCACCCAATATAATGAAAAGCTCCCTTAATTAACTAGTTCACTAGTTACTAGCCGGTCCTAAGCCTGCATAAAGAGAGGTTGGGCATAGGGTTAGCAACCCTACCCCTAAAACCAATCCAATCGCTAAAGAAACTTCAAAGCATAAACAAAAGATAAAAGATATAAATAAACTTATTCCTCACTAGAATCGAGGAAATGAAATGACGCCGTTTGGTGAAAGCCTTCAGAAAGCCAATTGACCGATGTGTCTTCTCTCTCTCCCCCTCTCGATGAAAGCCAAAGTAAACATAGGGACATGGAATGTCCGCATGATGTTTGAAGCTGGCTGGCTGGCTGGCAAGGCTGCCCAGATTGCAAAAGAAATGAGAAGGCATAGCATTGAAGTGCTAGGCTAGGAATCTGCAAGGGCAAATGGAATGGAAGTCAACTCTCCAAACTGTCAACTGGAGAGTCAATAATCTACTCCCATATTGTCACCCAGATGACAATCACGAGCACACTGAGTTTCGGAGTGGCTATCATGATGTCTTCAACAACATCGAAGGCTCTCGTGTAGTGGGAGCCAATCTCTTCCAGGGTCATGAAAGCGAGATTCAACTCAAAAGGAAGGAAAGTCATAATCGCACAATGCCAATGCTACGCGCCTACAAATAATCCAGACCAAGAGAAGAAGGAGGAATTCTATAGACAACTGAGATCAGTACTGGACAAGACCATACCCCAGATGGTGACATCAAAATTCTAATGGGTGGGGTGACATGAATGCCAAACTGGGAGCAAACAACACAGGAAGAGAACCAACCATTGGTCGAGAAGCACTCGGTGAAATGAAAGAGAATGGAGAGCTGTTTGCAGACTTCTGCACACTTAACGATTTGGTGATTGGAGGTAGTGTGTACAAACGCAAGAATATTCACAAAGCGACATGGATTTCATCAGACAACAGGACACATTAGAAATCAGATCGACTTCATCTCAGTCTCAAGAAAGTGGAGACGCAGCCAGCCAACTGAACACAAGATCAGATCAACAAGCGGAACAGATGTAGGTCCGGACCACTCTACCTTCACAGAAGTCGGTGATAGAACACAGTTCAAGTTCAACACCCAAAAACTAAAGGACGAAACCACAAAAGACATTTTCACGTCAGTCATCACAACAAAATGGGAGACATTAAGCAACATCCGTGAACAAACCTACGTGGAAGAACACTAGAACTCTTTGAAAGAGATATGGGAAGAAATAAGACAAGGAATGGATCTACACGGACACATTGAGGCCGATAGGGCAGGGAGAGGAAGATGGTGAAGCAGGCGAACCAGTGCAGTGCACGGATTAACAGCGAAAAGCGGAACTGAATACAACCTACACAACACTGGACAAAGGAGTGAAAAAGAGTCCGTCGAAAGGCAAAAAACACTTCTACGACACACTTGCAAGTGAAGCAGAACAGGCTGATGGCTGGTAGGAGAGACCTGACAACATTATATCAAATAACCAGGTCACTATCTGATAGGGAAGACATCAACACAGCACAGATGAAACCAATGAAAGATAGTGAAGGAAACCTAGCAGCAAGGAACTCTGGCAACGAACAAACCAAGGACCCATGGCCCAACAGATATGCAGAAGAAAGTGAAGATGGTCTGGACATAGACTGCGAAGACTGTTTGGGGACATCATGCGCCAGGCCCTTGAGTTGAACGTAAAGGGGAATAGAGTCGGGCGCCCGAGGGTGATATGGAGGAGATCGTGTGAGGAAGAAATGAGAGCTTTTGACCAGTCGTGGAGCCAGGTTAAAAAGACTGTATAGAACAGAAAGAAACAGCGAAGTGCTACTGAAGCCCTATGTTTCACTATGAACTCAAAAGACTGATAATAAATAATAATATGATAATGACAAATCATATTCAGTGAGTGTCCAAGCTTTGTTACTTTGATTTGTAGTTCTACATTGGAATCTTGCCGAACGACTCAACTTTGTTGTTGTTTGTTACTTGTAATTCCCCATTGCCATACAGGGTCGAATTGTTCGACCTCTCTTGGCATATGGGCTACAATGCAGAGGCCTCGATACTACCAGACATTCGTGTTGTATTTATCTTAGTGATTCGTAGGTACGTCCAGCTGAGGAGTTCCAAACAGGACGAAACCCGCGTCCTGGATTCCACTGAGAGTCTCCAAGATGAAATCAGCTTTGTGCTTGCTTTTTTGATAGTTGTGATCATCTCTCGATATTGACTCCTTCACTGATAAACATGGTTTGCTCAATGTGTACGGTGATATGAAAATAACCGATATGTTATTAAAATGTTTGCCAGTAGAAACTGCAGCTTAGGTAATAACCTGAATAATCACTTAATTCCAGTGCTTATGTCAGCTGAACTTCAGTTTTGCGAAAGGCAGTTACAACTTAAAGTCTTCTTTTCATGCAGTGGCAAAGATTGACAGTAAGCATGTTAATCAAGTTGACGAAATCAACATTACTTATGTGCTTTATACGTAGTCTATTAGTAACTGAAAAAATGATGACCTAGTTGGAGAAAATGTAATTCAAACGAACTTCATTTTGAGAAAAAACTTGGAATAATAGCACTTACATGTTTTGTATGTAAGTTTTATCAGGAGATCGATTTCTGGATGAACAAGTCGAACAATATGAAGATGAACGTGAAGATGAAGAAGACGAACAAGACGATGACGAAGAAGATGGTACATCAGGAATGTGCTTTGAAAGGTCTGTGTTGTCTGCGATTCTCGCTAAATCAGGACGATGAGTTCGAAGAGCAACTAACCATCTTTTGGCGAACTTTGGTCTTCCACGAGCAGTTTTGTGCCACACAACAGGAAAATTCGCCGAACTGAAATCATTAAGGAGGAATGATTGTCACAAGATATGTAAATTAAGCTTCTCGGAAGTATGAAATGATATACTACAACAACACGTAATATTGCCAAAACATGCAATTTAAAAGTAGACTTTACCTGATCATTCATGATATGTGCTAATCAAGCGAAATTAAGTGGGAAAAATAAATATTATTGCATAGGTTTACAAAGCCTTAACCGTAAATTTTATGACTGATCATTATTGATATAAGATGCATAATTTTGTTGCATATCAATCACTTCAAAGTGATCTGGCCGTTAGGACGGACAAAACATTTTACAGCCTGGATTTGAAAAATCCTACGTTTTAAAAACTCAATGCATTTGCATGAAAAACAACCTGCAGAAGTTTTGTGTGACAGCGACGGTATCAGTTAAATTGAGGACAACATGCCACCAACCCCCTGGGACGAAAACAGTCTCTCCAGGACACTGAAGTATTTCAATAGGAGTATACTCTATCGGCCAGTCGGATGCTTGGGTGCGTGGATATACGTGAACGAACCAGGAGATAGCCTCGTTCTGATTCTTGCCACCATCAGATGGTTTCGGTTTAACAAGATCTTTTGGAGTTTTAGGTGGAAACAAGCACCATCTGAAAAAAATTAGAATTACTTTCAGTTACAAATAAGCTTAGAACTACTAAGAAAGACATTGATACAATATGGCTGAATAGAGTCCCTAGAACTGGAGAAAGGGAAGCTACACAGTGAATTCGTGAAAGAACAACAGGCAAAAGGAAACAGAAACCTCATAGAGAATCGGGACTGGTTTTACTGCATTGAAGCAGACTGGGAATGCATACTGGCCACTCATCTTTTGATCCAGTAACTGCAGTTAAACGAAGTTTTCGTAGACCGAACAAACTTATGCATAATTTAACGACTAGACAGCTTTAACTGAACTCGATTGCGCAAATACTATGTTAACTGCACACACTTTGCCTAGGTTTTAACCAAAACGGAGAGTTATCATCTGTTAGTGAAAACTAATAGAGAGGCTGTAGGCTTCACAAACTTTCTAATATTTATTCAGATACAGACAGTATATCCACCAATTAGTCAACCAGATTTGTATATCTGATAATCTCTTATTAATTATTTGAACATATTTGACCGCTGAATTAGTTACTGCAATGCTATTATCTATTCTTGGCTGTGTTAACAATGACTTATAATGAGTTCACACACATGTGTACTTATACACCTAGTGAATTGACAAAGTTGACTGTTTTGTCTAGAAAAACTGACCACCTGTTTTGGATTACGTGTAAATAGCGTATTACGATTACAATTCTTGCTGGTTTTATTTCTTCTACCTTGCGAATGTTGTCAGCAATTTAAGGCGATGGAATTTACGTCTACTTTAAGACTAACAACAATCTATATAAAATTTGATAATCATGTGTCCAACACACAATGGTGTTTTGTTACAGACATCTGAAATGCATGGTTCTGATAGTTATACAACTCAGTGTTTACTAGATGAAACTCTTATCCAACGATTTAGTAGGCTTCTCGATAATGAATAAGACAATAAAATTACAGTTAATAAAATGTTAGAATATCGAACCTTTAGTGTCTTCAACTGACGTGCAACAGCAGCCAACTGGGTGCTTTGAGAAAGCTGTTAAAAAATGCACGCAGGTACTACTGGATAGAAGTATATTCATTATTGCAATAGTTTTCAACTGGGCCCTAACGCTTTTTACGTAAAACTATTTACTCAGTTCTTGAGAAAAGTGATTATCTGGGGCTTAAGTAATCTTGCTCTGAGTGGCGAACACTAAGTGATGTATATGAATGAACGGTCTCTAGTTACTTATGCCAGTTATTAGTACACACTGCGCAGTTTCCTTTGCTTTCCTAACACTATATCTTGGCACATAGTTTTCAAGAGGGATTCACAAATCAATTTTGCAACTGATTACTTCAGTTGTGACATATTCACCATGAACTGAAAATCTTGCAAGCTTTTGCTTCAATTCTCCTTTCAGTTTTAATAACACTACATTCGTCATTTTTTTACGGCAGAGAACTAACAATACATTAGGATCAGGATGGATGTTCAAGTGAAACCCTTTCACAAAGCACTGCTCTAATGCATCATATTACACCTGAAGGAGAGTTTCATGATTAGTTCTTTTTTCAACTCAGCGTACGTTGCAGGTGTATACATTCTTTTCATATCCCTTGACCCATTAGAGCTTTTAAGTATTGACTTCGCGTTTGTTGTTATTTTGGTTTAACTGGTTAGAAGAACTGAGCACCTCGCTTATGTAAGTGGTTGCGTCTATCCCGTGTTAATGACTGATTAAATCTTTGTATTATTACATAGAGCTGATTTGACTTTCGTCAACTCTCGCAAAACACAGTTTAGGTGGGATTTTCAAACACTTGTCAAGGACTAAGTATACGAACAAGTAGTGTTTTTGTCCCAATATTCAGCTGTAAAAGAATAAATGAGCTACACAATTTGATTACCATTACCCTTGCTTACTAGATGAAAGAAGTCGTCAAGAGAAATACAGTAGCAACAGGATTTCTCTATATGGAACGAAGTGAGCGTACGTCAGCGATGACTAACACACGTAATTGAACACGATTTATACTGCCTGAACACCAGAAATACTACAAAAATAGTTTTTAAGCCCCATCCTGTTGTCGTTAGATTTATTCTCTAAGAACCAAAATCCACTTAGCAATCGTGTGCTCATTCGTTCAGTAAGCGACAAACCACACCCACTGTATCAGGACTGACGATACAACTACCTGACCGCCCGGGTTTCAGTAGGTGGAGCTGGATTCGCACCCATGACTCACTGGTTTGAAGTCGAGTGCCTAGACCAGTGAGCCACAAAGACATTTAATACTACACACCTGAATTGTTCAGATCTTCAAGAGACTAAGTTTGGATAAATGCCTTGGCTTTAGACTACGGTCACGCTATATTACTAGATATCCTCAAAATATGTAAAGTACTTACCTTTTATATCCTTTTACTAACGCGTTCCAAGCACTAGTTCCAAGGGGATCTATGTGTATACCAGTACCAGAACGTGGTGGACCCATCACAAACCACCTAAACATAGAAAATCACTAGATGTTTATAACCCTACAGCTGATTCATTGTCAGTAACAGAAAAATGTACACAACTAATAATTAGTCAAAAGTAAAAACACTGATATTATGTCACGGTCTAAGTGTGCACTACTGAATGCTTCATTACTTGGTGAGAAATAGCTATCTTTTTTTGTATAAAAATTACGATCTACTTTTGTTATGAGGGAACTAATCTGCATATCGTTTTTGGTACCAAATGACCACTTTTAGAAACATGAAAGCTATAAAATGCTTTCAAAACACGACTGAGAGTCTCATTCCCTAGTACAATACTTTCTGTTTACTGTGACAAGAAACGACGGTTGACATTGTTTTACATTTTCAAGCGGTCCTTCTCCAATGACATCAATAGTTACATTTCGTAATTCTATGTCCTGTATTTTATATTTTAAAAAAATCACCAATTGCTATAGAGATTGGTGGATAACAGGAAAATGAAGAGTGAGTATAATCAGACAATAGCTCCATTGTACTTTCATTATATTTACTCCAGCCACTGTGATGACTAAATCCTGGAGTACGAAAAATATGGTCAGAGTTGTAACAAAATAAATCACAGAAAAACATACCTATAAGGAGGTCGTGTTTTTTCCCCGCCTAGAGAAAACAAATCTTCTTTGAAATAGCTGCATATTTCATAATCATTCAGTAGCTTTTTACGCTTGGGATGCTGTTAGAAGTAAACTAAAAAAGTAATTCGCACTTGCTTCACCATAGTTTGCATCGAATATGTACAGTGGACTATCATCTTTATTTTCTTGCATATATTGAACAAAATACTTCATTTTTAATTTAACAGAATTGCCTTTATCATCTTCTCCGCACTTGAATCTTTCATTGCGATATTTTTTACCTAAACGCTAACATATCACAAACTAGTTGATAAATCGAGCATGTAATACCTTGATTGTCCAATTATCATTCGCTTTCCAATCTTTCTGAATGTTTTGAATTACTACAGGTTGATACGGACGCTCATATTTAGTTACAAATTCTTCATAAGAAACTTTGCAGGCATTAATACGCGGACAACGATCATGTACAGAATTAAGTGACAGATCGAATTTATCTGCATATGCACATGCATACCAGTTGTGTGCAGACTCGCCAAGTTCTGATCTTGCTCTTCTTTTCGCTGACTGCACCCTACGCTCATATTTATTTCGTTTGGACGACATTCCTTTAAAAATAGGAGAATAATTAATCCTTTTAAATGAATAACGCAAATCGCTGCGGAAACTAAATGTTAAACGAATCTACAGGTAGAATATTAAAATATTTACAGTTAGGTGGTGGTTACTGATTTCGTTACCTTCAGTACTACACCTAGCATTATTCAGAAGGCAACAATACGACCATTTTATAACATAAGCAACAAAAGAGAATTACATTACTCCTTTCGTATACTGAAGATACGATCATATACGAAGTTTGGTGACAAATAACCATTCAGTCAGTAATTAAAAGTCAACTTACGGAGTGTATCAAATGTAAGATGCTTTTGCTTCACCAGTCACCACCGAAACAGCTTGATAATAACAAATGGAGTAGTTTATTTATTTGGTGAAGATGCGGAAGCTTTGACTGGATGGCTTTTGACCAGATATTGACATGAATAAAAAGAAGCCTGTTAGGCATCTGCCAATCTGCGTCATCCCAAGCAACGGAGAGATATGCAACTTTTCTATCAAGAAGTGAGTACAGTGCATCTCGTCTCACTCAGACGATTATGCAAACTTTTATCGAATGAAAAGGCTGGATGTGTATCAAACCCAATGATCACGGCTGTGAACTTCGCTCGCTTCCGTAAGATTCGTTTGAGAAAAACTGGCGCTGATAAGAACAAAATAGTGCCGGTTCACAAAGCTATACATTGATGATGACCAAGCTTCTCTTGTAAATTCCAATATATGCTGACAAGGAATAGTAGGAGACAAACAGCAACATCTATCCATAGTGCTGCAAACGCATCCACACCTATATAAACAGCTGGAAACCGAAGTTTAAAGGGTAGTAGAAGCCGGTGGATTTGCATGTCATTTGAACTCATTTATGCGACAAGACAACCTCGCCTAACTAAGTAGTTCACTAGTTACTAGCCGGTCCTAAGCCTGCATAAAGAGAGGTTGGGCATAGGGTTAGCAACCCTACCCCTAAAACCAATCCAATCGCTAAAGAAACTTCAAAGCATAAACAAAAGATAAAAGATATAAATAAACTTATTCCTCACTAGAATCGAGGAAATGAAATGACGCCGTTTGGTGAAAGCCTTCAGAAAGCCAATTGACCGATGTGTCTTCTCTCTCTCCCCCTCTCGATGAAAGCCAAAGTAAACATAGGGACATGGAATGTCCGCATGATGTTTGAAGCTGGCTGGCTGGCTGGCAAGGCTGCCCAGATTGCAAAAGAGATGAGAAAGTATAGCATTGAAGTGCTAGGAATCTGCGAAAGCCGGTGGAATGGAAGTGGACTCTCCAAACTGTCAACTGGAGAGTCAATAATCTACTCCCATATTGTCACCCAGATGACAATCACGAGCACACTGAGTTTCGGAGTGGCTATCATGATGTCTTCAACAACATCGAAGGCTCTCGTGTAGTGGGAGCCAATCTCTTCCAGGGTCATGAAAGCGAGATTCAACTCAAAAGGAAGGAAAGTCATAATCGCACAATGCCAATGCTACGCGCCTACAAATAATCCAGACCAAGAGAAGAAGGAGGAATTCTATAGACAACTGAGATCAGTACTGGACAAGACCATACCCCAGATGGTGACATCAAAATTCTAATGGGTGGGGTGACATGAATGCCAAACTGGGAGCAAACAACACAGGAAGAGAACCAACCATTGGTCGAGAAGCACTCGGTGAAATGAAAGAGAATGGAGAGCTGTTTGCAGACTTCTGCACACTTAACGATTTGGTGATTGGAGGTAGTGTGTACAAACGCAAGAATATTCACAAAGCGACATGGATTTCATCAGACAACAGGACACATTAGAAATCAGATCGACTTCATCTCAGTCTCAAGAAAGTGGAGACGCAGCCAGCCAACTGAACACAAGATCAGATCAACAAGCGGAACAGATGTAGGTCCGGACCACTCTACCTTCACAGAAGTCGGTGATAGAACACAGTTCAAGTTCAACACCCAAAAACTAAAGGACGAAACCACAAAAGACATTTTCACGTCAGTCATCACAACAAAATGGGAGACATTAAGCAACATCCGTGAACAAACCTACGTGGAAGAACACTAGCACTCTTTGAAAGAGATATGGGAAGAAATAAGACAAGGAATGGATCTACACGGACACATTGAGGCCGATAGGGCAGGGAGAGGAAGATGGTGAAGCAGGCGAACCAGTGCAGTGCACGGATTAACAGCGAAAAGCGGAACTGAATACAACCTACACAACACTGGACAAAGGAGTGAAAGAGTCCGTCGAAAGGCAAAAAACACTTCTACGACACACTTGCAAGTGAAGCAGAACAGGCTGATGGCTGGTAGGAGAGACCTGACAACATTATATCAAATAACCAGGTCACTATCTGATAGGGAAGACATCAACACAGCACAGATGAAACCAATGAAAGATAGTGAAGGAAACCTAGTTAGCAAAGAGGAGAAACAAAGAAAACGATGTGCTGACCACTTCAAAAAACTCCTGAATCGACCACCACCTGCAACTCGCCCAGAAATACCACTAGTAGTCCCGCCATAGAACAACCAGTGAACACAAACCCTCCGACAAAAGCAGAAGCGAAGCCCTGAACGCCATAAAGTTGCTGAAAGCCGGGAAAGCAGCAGGACCAGATGGAATCCCACCAGAAGCACTGAAAACAGGCAGCATCGTTTCAAATACAAGCGGTTGCGGTGGCACGGATGAGGACGTCAAAGCCTGGATCGGAAAAGCAAGACAGGCCTTCAATAACCTGAAATCAGTATGGAGATCTACCACACTGCACTTCACCCAGCATAAAGCGTGAACAAGATCCGGACTTTCGACACAAATATCATTCAAGTAAGTCAGTGCTTCTATGTGATAGTTCAGAAACTTGGCGCGTCACGAAAAGCATTTCCAACGAACTTCGGGCATAAATCAACAGCTGCCGCCTACGCCCACTCGATACTGAGAATGAGATCAGATGGCTAGAATAACAAGAATAAGCAACTATGAACTCTGGCTGGCTGGCCGGCAACGAACCAACGAAGCAAGAACCTATCGCCCAACAAATATGCAGAAGAAAGTGGAGGTGGGTTGGGCATACACTGAAATCATTCGGGGACATCACGCGTCAGGCCAGGCCCTCGAGTGGAATCAAAAGGGGAAACGACGAGTTGAGCATCCAGGGGCGACATGGGGGAGATCAGGTGAGGAAGAAATGAGAGCTTGTGGGTGGTCGTGGAGCCAGGTTGAAAAAAAAGCAGAGAACAGAGTGCAATGGAGTCGCGCTACTGAAGCCCTATGTCCCGCTAGGAATCCAAGAGACCAATAACATATAATAATGTAAGAAGACTGACTGGCTCTGACTACACTGAGGAGCGAAATTAGATCAAACGTAAACTGAGTTTTCGCAATGATTGCGAGAAATGGTGGGTGACGAAAGCTAGAGAAATGTAGAAGGCACCAACTTTGGATAACACCGGGCAATCATTTAAGCTTATTGAAGGTACCGGCAAGAAAATAATAGTGAGACCATCACAGGAAAAATGGGATGCTGATAGTGTCCCAGGATAGAAAGCTATAAGGTTTGGCGGAACACTGAAGTACACCTTAAATGCCCCCGGGAAATGCTTCAGTTCCTTAGCATCTATCCCGAACCTGAAATGGATATAGATGTCGGTTCTCCAACTCCCTTAGAAGCAGAGATGGATCTTTCAAACTTAAACCAATGCGGGATAGCAGGACCTGGCAGTTTGACACCACATGTTAAGGAGGTGGGTTAGAAGTTGCCGAGCACAATAACGGAGGTACCAGGAGACGCATCAGACTCAAAGATAGTCCCGCTAGACTGGCCCCCTCCACTAATTACTCTAGTTCATAGCAAAGGACAGAAGTCCTCCTGTGACGACCACAGAAGAGTCGGTTTAACTACCACCATTTGCGAGATCCCGGGGTTCATTGTTATCCAACCCCCAGCTGCACCTCAAAAACAGCAAACTCCAAGAAACTAGGCAATTTTCAAACCTCCAAAGGGTGCCGGTTCAACACTCATCCTCTGTTCCGTTAAGGAACACAGACGACAGGCAGCCAACACCTGCCATACTCCTTGACCTAACGGTGGCATTCACCTTCGCCGACCATGTGTTGTGACAGTATTTGACTGTGATCTGAGGTATCTTCGTAGCACTTTTCGCGTACGGTGAAAGCATGTGAGCAATGTACCAGTTAGGCAAAGGGTATTAGAGTAGACAGACAAGTCAGTCGATAAGGTCGTGAACCTTTAGCGACTGGGGTGGCTCGGCAGTACTAGGAGTTAATAAAGGCCTCAAGATGCCCAGACTAAGACGTGGAACCCGTCCACGAAGTCTTTGACTCTTGATCTTAACCGTTTGTGAAAGCGTACACCGTCTGATTGTTTGTCGAGATAAGAGGAACCAATGTTTGGAGAACCTCAGCGACACGAATAAAAATTGGTCATAATGGTATAGGTGTGAAGCTAGGGAGCATTGGTTTGGGGTATGACTTTCAACCAATGGGTCACAGGTTGGAGCCTAGCCCCACCCAGCGAGGTTTTGGCCGTCATGTAGTATCACTAGCCCTTACACAATGTGCGGCCCATTGCCTACTGCACGAATGTTCACATGATTACTGAGTGCATTTCGACCTCGTTTTTGTTTTGATGCCTTTCAAAGCTTGAATATTTTATTTTAAAACCAAGGCTTGCTAAAATATGCTATTACACAATATTGCGTAATCCATGGATAACCGTCAACAATGATTAGACAAATGTGCTTAAATCTATTTGGCTTTTTCCTAAGTCTTACTAATTTCTACACGGACTTCCGTTTAGACTTACAGGCTGTCCTAATATACAACTGTGAACCGTCAAAGCATGACCAATTAGGAGTGTCCTCGGTCTAAACAGGGTGCCTGAGCACTTGAAGGTCATTGTGCTGAAACCTCATTTGTGCGTTATACACGAAATTTAGGATATTGGTGTTTGGCGTTAAGTCCACATACAAGTCAGTTTGTACGCTGAGTGACTTTAAAGGCCACACCAGCGACAGCTGAAAAATCTAGATAGACTTCTCTATTTTATAAAAATCTCCCTTACCAGCCGAAATAAAGAAACCTAATTGGTTACTTTGATCGTTGCTAGGGTGACCTTTGAAGTCCCCCTTGTATGTTCAGCACAGCTTAATATTTGTGCTAATTTTCATATTTACTCATACTTCTGATATTCAACATCAATAATGTCAGCAGAAGAAACTTGCAGTATTTGGGCTTGTGGCATGACATACTTCTCCAGAATCAATAGCCTGCGGTTTGACGAGATTCAACATTGAGGCTGACCTTCACAGTTTAACTGCACTCGCTAAGCCGAAGGCACTCGATCGAGCATCCTGGCCATTTGGCACGCTGTCGTGTCGTAATCGACTCTCTAGCCAGTTAGCTGGAACGCATCAATATCTTGGCAGGACCTCGCAAATGCACTATTCCATTCGACTACGTTGTTGTGTTTGTAGCGTCACACACTTCCTCAAAATCAATAACCTAGGGTTTGACGAATTTCGACATTGATGCTGACCTTGATAGTTTAACTGGACTCGCTAAGCTGAAGGCACCCGGTCAAGCATCCTCGCCATTTAACATGCTGTCGCGTTACGTTGCACTGCTCGTATTCGACTCTAGCCAGTTAGTTGGAAAGCATCGGTAGCTTGTTACAACCACCCAAATATACTATTCCATCTGGCTGCGCTACCGTGTTCTTCCTTGGTCTCGTATTCGTGGGTATATAACAAGTCCGAATAATTAGCGACTAGTCTTTGCGTCTGTCAAGTTCGCACCAGGAAAAATCCTAAATTGGTGAGCCCGACGTGATCAAATATCCCGACGTGATCACATATCCCGACCAACAACATATATCGAATTGGTGAGCCTGTTTCATTGTATATTCGTATATTGTTTTCATTTCGATAACATTTATATGTCCATTTACTGCACTTTCTCATGTCCGACCACACTCCCAAGCTTATTCGTATTAAGCCGACTACGAACACTATCCAACTCGTGCCATATTGGCCAGACAATGCGGAAACATGGTTTCTGTTTGCCAAGGCAGATTTTCGAGAACAGGGCGTCTCAGATCCTCATTCTCGATTTCTTGCTGTCGTACAGTCACTACCGCGGGAATTAAACAGGCATGTTACAGCCCATATTTTAGTCCCAAAGCAAGTGATCCCCATGCACTTCTCAAAGCTGCACTATTGGAGAACAGTGATCTCACAGATCTCCAGCGCTTGGACGAATCGCTCCGCAACGTCGAGCTAGGCAGCCACTCAGCTACTGAAGTCCTCACACGCATGCGAGAAGTTATGGGCACACGAACGTTTGATAGTGGCCTTTCCCGAGAACTGTTTCCGTCGAAGCTACCACAACCGCTGCAAACCGTGTTAGTGACACTTCAGTCAGCCCCACCCGATGACCTGGCGGCCTCGGCGGATAAAATACTGGAGATCTCTAGTAGACCCATCTCCTATGTATTCTGTCTGCCGTAAACCAGAGAGTCAGGATTCAGAGGTGACCAAGCTGCGCAACTATGTCAAACAGTTGCTATGAGCCTGAAACCCTAGGTTACGTGGCACATCACAGAAAAGCATCTCAGCCTCTCGCAGCAGCTCGCACGGTTATACAAAACTAAACCTGACAGGGCTGAAAGCCCTAAGTGGTGCTGGTTTCACAATACTCACGGAGACGAAGCCAGAAAATGCCAGAAGCCATGCAGTTTTAACACGGACACTAACTCGGGAAACGGTCACGCCGGCACGCATTCATGGCAACAGTAGCCGGTGGAAACATCTGTTCGCTCTACGTCACGGATATTAAAACGAAAGTTCGCTACCTCGTCGACACCGGCGCAGAAGTTAGCGTTCTTTCCGCACCTACAAAGGAGCGTCATCGTGACCCATCCTCCAATCTCCAAGCAGCCAACGGCGAGGCAATCGCGACATTCGGGAGACAGTTTGCCTACCCCAACTTAGGTTTACGTAAATCTATCCCCTGGAGTTTCCTCCTGGCTGACGTTTCTGCGCCGATCATTGGCATAGATTTGCTAAACCGTCACGATCTACTCGTAGATGCTCGCCGTCGACGTCTGATTGATAAGGACACAAAGTTATCTATTGGCGGCACCACCTACGTAGGTCCGAGTTTAGCCATGGTTAGAACTAGACAGTCAGGCGACGTTTCCTATCAGGCAGTTTTGGAGAAATACACATAGCTACAGCATCGGAAGCATATTCTTCCGTGCATAACCAGCAACGTAAGGGATCACGTCACGACCACATGTCCACCTATGGCACCCAAAGCAGGCCGCTTAGCTCATGTTAAGCCCAAAACGGCGAAAAGCAAATTCGACCACATGCGGGAACTGGGCACTGTCAAACCTTCGAGTAGTTTTTGAGCGTCGCCATTGCATATGGTTCCCAAAAGGGATAGCAATGACTGGCAGAGGCTTAACGCTGCAACAACACCGGAGTGCTACCCGATACCTCACGTTTACGACCTGACTGCGACATTATGCGGAATGGACATACTCTACAAAATCGATCTGGTCAAAGCTTATGATCAGGTACCCATGGCAGCAGAAGATATCGCGCAAACAGCCATCGTTACTCCTTTTGATCTGTTTGAATTCCCGCCCATGCCGTTTCGTCTTCGGAATGCAGCACAGACGTTTCAACGCTTTATGGATGGTGTCTTCCGTGTTTCAGATTTTGTTCATGCCTACATTGATGACCATCTCATTGTGAATCCAGATGAGGAAACTCACCTTAAACATTTGAACCCCGTATTCGGTAGACTACAAAATCATGGCAACATCGTCAGCTTGCAGCATTATGAAATGGGAGTTGGATCACTCAACCTCCTTGGGCGTATCATTGACAACAAAGGTATACGCCCACTGAGAGATAAAGTGGCGGCTATCATGAACTATCCAGAGCCGATAACTGTAAAGTGGCTCCACACTTTCAGTGGCCTGGTAAGTTATTACCGAAGGTTTATTCCCAACTATGCCTCTGTCATGAGGCCACTCAAAGATCTACTTCGACGGACTACGAAATTCATGACCCTGGACAACGTGGTAAGGCTTGCTTTCTCTAAAGTCAAGGAAGCCATTTCAAACTCACCCATGCTCACGCATCACGACCTTAATACTCCTTTGAGTATTGCTGTTGATGCATCTGATTCGACAATTGTAGCAGCCTTGCAATAGTTGACTGGCAACCAGCGGCATCCGTTAACCTTTCTCCCGATGCGGATGCAAGAGGCAGAAACAAGATACGGCGCATTTGATGGGGAAATCCTGGCCATGTACTGATCTGTACGCCACTTACGACATTTGGTGGGATGTCGTGATTTCATGATTTTGGCAGGCCACAGACCGTCAACCCTCTCTCCTAGCTCGGTATCTGACAAATGCTCCCCTCATGAGTCACGACAACTGGATTGCATTTCCCAGTTCACGTCAGATATCCTCCACATGTGTGGAGCGAATAACTTCGTAGCCGACGCACTATCTAGAATAGCTTCCATAAACCGTGTAGAGGGCGTTGATTTCGCTGAACTAGCCCGGCGTCAAGAGGAGGACCTTGAGCTGCATCATGAGTTGTCGTCCACAGCTCTCTAGTGGCGACCGCGTCCAACAGGATCGGACAGGGATACAATTTTGTACGATGTCTCTGCTAGCTGACCACGCCCAATAGTTCCGAAGAGCTGTCGACACAACGCCTTCAATACATTGCAAAAACTGTCCCATCCAGGTGTGCGGGCCACCATCAGGCTTATTGCGCAACGTTCTGCCGGCCTGGGATGAAAGAAGACGTTAAGATGTGAGCTCACTTGTGCTTAACTTGTCAGAAGTGCAAAGTCACGAGGCACACGAAAAGCCCTTTAGATTCTTCTCTAACCCGGACATGCGTTTCGACCACGTCCACATACGTATTGTAGGACTTCTACCAGAATCCAATGGACATGCTTACCTTTTCACTTGCGTGGATCGTTTTACGAGATGACCACAAGCAGTATCTACTAAGGATATCACCGCCGAGACTGTCACTCGTGTTTTCGTTGAGAGATGGATGGCGAACTTTGGATGTCCATCTCAAGTAACAGCTGATCATGGGCGCTAATTCCAATGTGGATTATTTCACGCTTTAACTGCACCTTTAGGTTGCACTCGGTTCCTTAAGCAAATGACACGGCAGAGGTTTCCATCGATAGGTGAATGCTTCCGCTTCAGCTACAAAAATACCTCAGTGGACCGAGGCTCTGCCTTTAGTCCTACTAGTTATTAGTAACTCGCTGGAAGTCGACGCTGGATGCACCTCTGCAGATTCGTCTATGGGTCACCCTTCGCCCACCAGGTGAACTTGTTTCCCCTCGACTTTCAAACACGTTTTCGACAGGACATCTTACATGGCTAGGTTTACCAACGCGATGCTTTCAAATAGGTCTTCTGTTAGACCTCAAACGACTAATGTCTTCGTTCACCCCATTTTACAAAGGACATCACACGTGTTCATTTGCCACGATGACGTTCATCGACCACTCGAACCACCTTATGATGGGCCATTCAAAGTAACCAAGCAACATGAGAAATTCTACATAGCTGAGCGAAACGGAAGTGAAGACACTGTTAGTATCAACCGTTCGAAACCAGCTTATTTCGAGGGCAACCCCGTCATAAGTGACGTTTCAGCTCGCTATAGACGACCTGCGGAAGGTTCAGTTATCGAAATTCTTGACGATGTGCCTGGTAATGCACAGATACAACAACCACTGGAGCAACAAATAACATGACCAGGTGGAACCGTCAGGTTCCCGGAGTACTTGAAGTCGT